CCATTCAGGGATTTTTTGGAAGTTTCAAAAAATATATGACATTTTATAAACACAAAATCAATTGTTTTCAGTTATGAAAAACGTTTTTTCAACACCCTGTATTGCATATTATATGAAACGGCATTGAGAAAATAAAAAAGTCACATCTCCCAAGGCCTAGCTCAATTATGAGGGGAGCAATTGCAATTTGAGTAAATGTCGCAGAGCTATTTTAGGTTTTTTTCAGAAAATTTTAATAGATATAACTCAAAAACAGACCGACATGAAAATTGAAAGGAATCATTTTATAAACCTAAAATGTTAATTTGTAATACCAAGTTTCATCAAAGTCTAAAACGGTAATGTTAAATTTTTAAGTGAGTGTGTTGATTTGGCATGTCACTTAAATACTTTATAAACATGATTTTGCACACACATTTTTGGAAATTCCATTGTATTTGTAGTTCTTGTGATTATACAAAAAGCTCACCTGAAATTTTTGAAGAGCATGTGTCTCCTCGCGCTGGCAAGAGTATGATGCCGATGCATCCGCTGAAAGGGCGATATCGCTTCACACCGCACATCCTTTTTATATTTTTCATCAGAAATCGGTCTTAGGAAAATCCCTTCAGAATCCAAATATGGTACGCAACCCCTGTTCCTTATTGATGTCACCATGACTAGTTGCTTTCCAAGCGAAACCACATTTGAAAGATCTTATCACGCGATATTTGAAGAAATGTCATAACTGGGGTTACATTGATTTCCAGGGGTGAAATGAGCCAAAAAATAACAAAAAGAAATCACAAATATTTAATATATAAAATTAAAAAATATCTCTTCCGCGTTACCTCAAGAGGTGAAAGTTTCACCACAGTAAAAAGTTCTCGGCAGCGACGGCTCGTCAGAGGAGGCAAGGGAGGCTTAGCCTCCCCATGAAATTTGAGGCTATTCATCGCAATAAATTAAAAGATATTGACAAATAATTATGATTATTTTTTTCTAAAAATGCTTGGTTATCATTACTTTACCATTAATTTTTAATATAAATACATAATATGCCCGAAAAAACACTATCACTCACTACGTAGTACGTACCACACTGTATCCTGCATCAACAAAACTCAAACGCACCGCCCATGAACGAATAACGAATAAACCATCAACCCGAAATAATAAATGCCATACGTTGCAAGAGAGCCAAGCCTCCGACCGCTTTAAAAAACACAGGCTCCACGAGACCGATCCAACCAGCGACATACGTCCCAATTTGTAATTTTTGTTGCAGAAATTATAACGTTAGAGGAGGCTAGCCTCCAGTTGGTCTCCGTTAGTGTACGACTGCGTTTGTTTTTTATTTAATTATTCGGACGGGATACCATGACGGACCGGGATTGAAAAATATTTCGGTAAATCGTTTTAGTGTTTCTTGATAATATTTGTTATTTGTGTATAAAACAGGCAGTACTGTATTATAGCAGTGCTTTTTGGTAATATTTTTAATGTGTTTTCAAAGTGTTTTTTTTTTCAATTTCAATGTGTTTTCAGGTTATCACTTTCCGGTAAGTTTTTTTCCATTTATTATGGATAAGTTGGACGAAATTAAAAAATCTGACGATATAGTCGATTGGTCGCTGACAAATAATTTTAAGTCTTGATCTTATGATAATAAATTTTACATTATTGAAACTCTGGGAAGGCCTCAACCAAATTTGATTTCAATTAAAGAGTCAGATAATCGACAAAATCGAGGATTTAATATTAGTTGGTACGATAAATGCGATTGGTTAACCGGATCCATTAAACGAGAAAAACTGTTTTGTTGGCCCTGTGTTTTATTTTCCGTACAAACTGAATACCAAACGTGGTGTAAAATAACATACTCCGATTTAGATACAGCTCAAAAAGAGGCCATAATTTCTTTTGATAATCAGGTTAGGGTTGTTTTTCTAATGGTCAGTTATATACGTATAATTTTCGGCAATACACAATTTTTGTTATTGTATTTTACTTTAAATAGGTGGGGTACCCCAACAAATTTAAATATTGTATTTTACTTTAAATAGGTGGGGTACCCCAACAAATTTTTGCGCCTCCGGTGGGCTTTTCTATGTGTATATAGTCTTTATGACTTTAGCCTACCCTGTTCTCCAATGCAGGAGCCGTCACTGGTTCTCGGTGACCTCGAAACAGAGTGCGGAGCCAATTTCGTTCTTTTACCATAGGCATGCGCTCATATAAAAACGAAATTTAAGGATATTATAGAAGATTTTTTGGTTAGTTACTTATTTTGTACTACAAAAACTAAAAACAATAATAACAACAGGAAATAAACTGAACACAATATCAATTTCCAACCGTTTATTATAACTAATCGGATGCCCGTGGTACCGTCGAATCCTTCGATACTACAGCACTGAATACGTTGGATGAGATGAGAATCTCATCCTAAGAGAGGTTGAAGGTCCCCTGCAACTCGGGCGGATCACATGGTAAGAGAGCCTATTGGAAACTGGTTATATGTGTGCCCATGTCTAGTTCTTTCTGCCACACACACAGTTGCAGAAAGTTATAGTAAATCACACCTGCTGCCGGCCACCATACAGTGACCCCGGTCTTTTATTGGTGGGTTTTCGCCTAGGTGGCTCATCGCTATCCAACCACTGTCCTGAACTTCTCCTATAGAGGATCCACTTTTGGTCACACGTGACACAATCCGATCCAAAAATAGATCGTTTTGGTTGCGCAAAAACAAAGAAAAACAGACCTCGAACCGTGACAATTTCTATCGATCGTTAAACCGTGGAGCATCCACTTTTCGAGCTTTTTGACCTTTTCAATAAATTTCAAACCATCAAAAACCACATAGAAGTTGGCATCCAGTTCTTCCGCCATCCCACGCACCGTTTGTGGTGGGTCAGTCTCCACCAGGGTCCTCAAACCCTCGTCCTGGATTACCACTTCGGGGCTCAGCTTCGAGGCTAAAAACTCCGGAACGAAATTTTGCTAACCAACTTCGAACATTGAGTTCATTATCACTATAATTGGATATTCTGCACAAGCGATTTGAGGGCATAGTCATCTCACGTGGAGGTGATGCGAACTGGCCACCGAGATCATGGGATTTGACTCCGTTAGACTTTTTCTTGTGGGGTTTTCTAAAGTCGCAAGTTTTTTAAAGCCACAAACCACAAGCGGCCCCCCAAAACCAACATAACCCATGCTATTGGTCAAATTCGGCCTGATTTATGCGCCAGAGTCGTGGCGATGAACGATGTTATAGCCCACACATAATGACATCAGTAAGTCTTTCAAACGAATGAAACTTTTCGATGATTTCTCACACACGCTTATGTTGGGGCCACACTAACGCGAAATGCCATTAATTATCGCGATAATGGACGTTAACCGTAGGTGTAGCCACGACTTAACGCGATAGTTTGACAACGGCAGTAACATTGCCGTTTGGCGTTAGGCAATAGCTCAAGTGGCGGTACATCAAAGAGATTAACGCAAGAATTAGTGCGATAAAGCGGCCACACTACGTCAGACGTTCATCTTGCAAGTAAAATTAACGCCGTTGAAAATTATCGCGATAATGGGCATTGACGTTAGCCGCTAGTGTGGCCCCAGTTTTAATGGAAGACCCTAATAGTTGTAATCCAGATCAGAGCTAATAAAAACAGTATAACTTTTCAAACGTACTGTTTTTAATACTTGAATTACAATTTTTAGAAACTCGCAAAGTCTCTAACTTTTTCCTCTATTCTCCTTTATTCAAATTCAGTCTTCTCTCAATCTGTTTATAACAACTTACTCAATTCAACAAGAACAATAACAACTAACTTCAACTAACTACCCATTCGGAATCAACTAATTAACTCTATCTAAGAAATATTTATTTAGGAAATACTTGTGCTTCTTCACGAAAAAAAAATACTTACTAAACCGAAACCATCTTGCTGAATTGAGTTATTCAAAAAAAATTGAAGGGAGAATTTCACTTGACAATATACAAAAGCACGACACGTGTTTCGCTATACAATAGCATAAACACGTGTCGATATACGTGTCAAGTGGAAATCTCCAATTAAGATGCTTTCGAATACGTTATAATGGATTTTCATCAAGAATTGGTCAGTTCTATGTAATTTTTGTTAAAATAATAAAATAATTTGATCTCAAATATATCCAACCGTTGCTAAATCCAACCCTGTTTTCGGGAACTGATTCAATTGCATGTACCTATGCTTGTGGCATCAAGATTGCTATGGAAACAAATAATTTATTTGATTAATATTACATGTCATTAAATATTACATGTCATTAGTATCGATTTGTCACAAATCAGCCTACAGACAAATTTCAGTGAAATATGGAAGGCAACACACAAGCCGATATTTACGACGAAGAATTCTTCAACAATTTACAAATCGCAAAGACACTAATATCCCAAATACGAAGGAGAAAGGGTATGACGAAAACTAATTTAAAATAAGTGTTATAATACTGATCTGGGTAAATTTTTGAGGGCTAGAATCACTTTCAATGGTTAGGAATGTGTTGAAGTTCAAGGAATACTCGTAAATGTCAATTGTCATATATCGCTCTATCTGAACGAGATGGATTATTTTGGTCAAATCCACTTTTGACTCTAGGCTAAAATAAATTCAAGCAAATCTCGAAAAAAAATCCGTAGGCACATTGTCATCAAAAACTTTCAGACTGATTGTTTTGGTTGGTTTCAGAGTTCTGCCGTGGTCTTCTTTAGTTATAATCTTCAACCGTTTCAACTGCAACTGTGGCAGTCATCTTCAGAGGCGTGATCGAAATACTCTTCTTAACGTGTCAACTGAAACTGAAACTTTCATTATTTCTGCCGTGTCATTTATAGCGCTGATTTTTTGCGCACTTTCATTAATGGCGGGTTCGTGCGTACTTCCCGCGCGATTTGATTGACTTAGCTTCGTTTTGGCGCGTTTCAATGCTGTGTGCCAGATCTTTGTATGCTCTCTCTTCCTTTTTGTTGAAGTTTTCTTGGTGTTTGTGTATTTCTATGGCTTCTAAATACACATTCAGAGGCATTAAATACATAGATATTTCTTTAAATTCTGCCTTTCATCTCAGAATTTTAATAACTTCCGACTTGAAAGTCGTAATTGATTTAGGAAACCTTACGCATTAATTTGACGGGGGTAATTTGAAATATATAGGTATATGTGTGTGTTGCATGTATATACTTACACAATGATGATGAAAAATTACTTTTCTGTAATTCTATCATACCCAGCAAATTAAACTCAAAACAACTTGAAGCAATGAAATAATTGAATAGCTTTATAGCACTATTTGAAAACTTCAAAAAAGTTTAATTTCTCCCAAGTAAGAGAACAGTCCTGAGCAGCCCACAAATTTTGAAGTGTCAATTTTACAAAATTCCTAACTTTTCGCTGTTTTTTCGACTTGGAGAAGTTGGGAAATTTCGGGCCGTGAAGATAGAAAAAATAATAGTAGAAAACAATAAGAACAATATTATTTAAGTGTTGTTTCCTTTCATTTGTATTGAATATTCCTATACATGGTGGATATGGTGGAAGATCAATGACCTTGGTCCAAAGTAGAATAATTCCCATTATTATTTTTATAATTACCAAAATTTATTTTTGTTTGTGCATACCCTAACGGGCGTAAGTATTCAGCCAACCTTTGGATAGCTAAGTAAGAAAATTAATATATTATAGTAGTAACTAATCCCTCGGCTTTCATTTTTTCGAAAGTTGGTAAATTTTGCTGGTGGGGTTGGGAAAATTTGGATTCTAAATTCATGCCATTGATTTTCAGGCATTTCTGTTTAAATAATTTGTCTGTATTCACTTGTTAGTGAACAGAAGATGCCGAGGCTAGTGCTGATTGAGTTTGATTCTTCAGAAACGGGTTAGATTGCGAATTTATATTAAATAAATTGGTATGTATTTGTGGTGCAACATAAAATGAATGTCTTTCCATATGGTGAGCCTTATAAAATAGTCAGCACATATACATTTGAAAGTATACAAATATTACAAAGGACGCATTTCAGATTACAGAACATTAAGTTTTCAACTGCATTTTTAGTAACAATAAAGTGTGTGAATTTTAAAACCAAAGGGCTATATCTTACGAACGAAAGCTGATATCGAAAAATGCATGAAACCGTTTCTAGGATAGTGAGGGGGAACTAAAGTGACACGAAAGAGAACTCACCCCCTTCAACCCCCTAGGCCCCACCCACCAAAACACAAAAAGTTTAAATTGCAAACTCCTACTTGTGATACATCATTGAAAAGACTATAAAAACAATGGTATAAATAATAATTGTACAGGGTGAAGCAATAATTGTGAAACTTTGGCTCAAATGGAATATTTAATGAGGTTTTTGTTGAACTGCAAATTTATTAAAAATGTCAACTAAGTAAATGTTCAAAGTGGGTTCCGCTGTTTTGTAAACAATAATACAGGCAATTTTCGAATTCTGCACCAACTTTGGCAAATGTTATTCTAGTAATGGCACGACATGCTTGCGACATTCTTTCTCGCAATTCCCCAAGTGACGCAGGTTGAGTTTTATAAACAACTGACTTGAGGTGACCCCACAGAAAAAAGTCAGCTGGCGCCAAGTCTGGTGACCTCGGTGGCCACTGAATCGGACCTCTCCTTCCAATCTATTTGTTCGGATAATTAGTATCCAACCAGTGCCTAACTGGACCTGCATAGTGAGGAGGTGCTTCATCTTGTTGAAAAAGCAGCAAATCTTCGTCTACAGCTGTGTTGCCTTGATCGTCCCTTTGGTTCTCTAATTCATGCACAATTAAAGATTCGATGGTGTTTTCCAGCATATCGAGATAAATGTCGCCACTTAAATTGCCTGGTGTGAACAAGGGACCAATCGCAATCGCATCACCTAATATTCCTGCCCAAACATTCAGTTTTTCAGGATATTGAGTGTGACCTTCTCTGAATCGATGCGGGTTCGCATCACTCCAGTACCGACAGTTTTGTTTATTTACATTACCATTCAGCATAAAAGAACATTCTTCACTGAAACAAATATTTTTTAACATTCTCAGTTCAACGCGAATTCTTTGTCATGAGTTCACAAAACTCAATTCGTCGGTCTGGATCATCATCGCCTAGTTCTTGAAGAATTTGTGTTTTGTATGGGTGAAACTTATGTAATTTCAACACCTTTCTAACCGACTCATGTGAAAGTCCTGTCACTACAAATACTTGACGTGTTGATGCAGTAGGCTCCATTGCAAAATTTACAAGGACCTCAATTTGGGTTGCTTCATTCAGTAATCTTGAGGCATTCCTTTTTTCATTTTGTACTGATCCCGTTTCTCTAAACTTTTCAACTAAATCGTGGACGTACACGTGACTTACATTTTTGTCCGGATGCCTGTTATGAAATATTTGAGCTGTTTTTAATTAACACTGGTTCTGGGAGGCAAATATGAAAATTATCTCCACGCGCCTAGGTATACTGTAAACCATCGTGACAACTACAGCTGAATGACAGTAGGTACTGATCGTACAAATGATGAAAACTAATGACATTTAAAAGTCTCAAACAAACCAAAAATTATTGACTCTGACAGAACCCAAAAAACAGATCTTCCCAACTCGTTTTGCAAAAACGGCAAATTAAGTTTTTATTTAACAAAAAAAGTATCGACGGACACTTATCATTTAAAATAATAGTCCGGGAAGTAGCATTACAAATAAAAAAGTCATAGTAAGCCGGTTGATATCAAAGTTTGTGCAGACTTTGATAATAGGCTGTATTATCGTTTACAAAACAACGGAACCCACTTTGAACATTTACTTAATTGACATTTGTAATAAATTTGTAGTTCAACAAAAACCTCATTAAATATTCCATTCAAGGCAAAGTTTCACAATTATTGCTTCACCCTGTACAATTATTATTTACACCATTGGATAGCATTTTTTATAGTCTTTTCAATGATGTATCACAAGTAGGGTTTGCAATTTAAACTTTTTGTGTTTTGGTAGGTGGGGCCGAGTTCTCTTTCTTGTCACTTCAGTTCCCCCTTACTATCCTAGAAACGGTTTCAAGCATTTTTCAATATCAGATTTTGTTCGTGAGATATAGCCCATTGTAGGTTTTGAAATTGACACACTGTATAGGAATTTTTGTTGTCAGAAATGGTCCAACTTTCATTATCATCGTTCATTTTGAATTCACTGTTTGTAGATTTCATGTCTTTTGACAATGTTTGAAATATGTGTTTTTTCCTTTGATATTTTTATTATTCTTTCAATAATTCTGTCTCTGATAGACGGGAGAGATACGCAGTAAAGGGAGTCGTGTTGTATCTTTACGTGCTCCTGTCGAAACAGCCCGAAAAATCAACCAGGCGTTTGGCAATGATAGTGTTAATGAACGCAAAGTTCGACATTGGTTTACGAAATTTCCTTCTGAAGATTTTAAACTTGAAGAGGAGCCCCGAAGTGTTCGACCTACAGTAATCCAGAATGAGGATTTTAGGATCCTAGTGTAGACTGACCCATCACAAACTTTCGAAACTTTCTAAATCCAGTCTATGATCATGCAGATTTTTCTCTTTTATCACCGAGTATTGAACTAAATTGAAAAAAACAATTATATTTGTAATCATTTATTATACAAACGAAAGATCATATTTTACAACTGAAATCACAAATAACAAAATACTTATTATAACCTAATAAATAATTGTTACTGAATTAATTCATGATATGACTCAATAAAAAATAAAACTGAATTTATCAATTTGAGTCTTGAACCAGCAAAATTATAATTATAATATGAATTTTGGAAAACTCATACATAACAACATGAAAAACTTGTTACCTAAAGTATACAAAGAAAAGAATTAAAGTAAGATATACAGTTAATGAAATTTCGTAAAGACATTTCTCAGCAAGTCTCTTCGCTCGGTACTTAATTAGATTCGATTTTTCAAAATATGTTTATATTTAAAGAAAATAGTTCACAAATTTAGAGCCATTTATACTGGTTTATTGGATGTATATGGATTGTATTGTAGAATTTGTAAAATTATAGAACAAACTTCAAAATATTGCCTGCACAGAATTCATAATGCAGTTTGAAACTTTTACCTTTTATGCATTATCAAATTGCAAATTCACCTGACCCTGAATAAATATTAATATAGTAGAATTCCAATTATTTGAACCCCTTTGAATCAACTAGATCACTTAAAGAAAACAGAATTGTTTGGTCTAATTTTTTTCTGCAAAAACTTGTAAACAATGTCTGTTCAGAGGTCAGAGGCGCAAGAGTACATCTTTTCCTCACTCTGACTAAACTATTGAAGCAGTAATTTATGCACTGTAAATGTTAAGTATGTACTAAATCCACTAATACTATACTTTACAGTGATAAAATGATATTTTAAATGCCGCATTGAGGTCAATTTCGTTTTTTCAGTCCCTTAAAACTTTTTCTGGTGGTTTCCTTTCAAAATAAACTTTTTTTGTCAAATTCAATTTTCCTGATATTAGATTATACAGATTAGAGTTGATTCAAATTGATCTGGATACTTGGAATTCTACTATGGTTGTTTTTGTAATTTTTCAATACTAAAAAAAGGACGGTAAGATGTTCTTGTATTGAATTGACAAATTTGACATACATTCCATAATTTCCTTGGTTATATTTATGAAGTCAGTGAACAAATTCTTCTCAGCCATTAAATTTTAGGGATATAAATGAAATTGTGAATTATGCATTGTTAAAAAAATACTTATACATCCTATAAACCAGGGCACTGAAGAAAGTATAGTTTTCAGTCTTTAAAATTCTGCCTGCTAGGATAAAATCAATGAAAAGGCAGCGAGATAACAAAAATGTTGAATTATGAATGCTTTCGATTATATTTTGAAATAATGTCCTAACACTCTACTTTTCAGACAAAGAGATTTGTAAGAAATGGATACAGAAGTTGTGCAACTTAAGGTCTGAAGATGCTGTGGTGAAAAAAAACCGAAACAGTTTTTTCAAGTATATGCTCCTAATACTGCACAAAGGAGCAAAGCAGGAAGAAAAAACTCCACAATTTGACAATATCAAGGTCAGTATGATGCTTAAACCTGGAACAAAAATATATAACATGTAATTATTGTATTTATTCAAAAACTTATTCGTTTATCAAAAGACTTTATCCTTACAGAAACACACTGAACTCTTACTTGGTGAAAATCAATAGCTCTGATAAGTACAAATTTTCACAATATAGTTAATTTCCAATACGTGTTTCATCAGTTGCACTCTACACTACTTTACAATGCAATATAAACATATTATCGACCTTAATTAAGCGAGATTACTAATTGATAATCAGGTAATTATAAGACCAGCAAGTATAATGCAGATAAAAATTATTGTTACCAATGATGTAAGTTTACCTGAGTCAACCAAAGTATGCATAATATCCAGTCATCCGAGATAACTCAGGATGTATATACATCTGAAGAAGCTAATTACCCGCGGCAACAAATCGTCATGAAAAAATTCCAAACATCAACGGCTTTCAAACCCAAAAAATAGTTCTTCTTCCAATATTAACTTTTGGGCACTTTGGACACCCAATTTGATATTCTTGTCGGTGTTGGATTTGTTGTTTTTTATATGTCTACTATAGTTTAGATGGATTTTACAATGACAAAGCTTTTTATAAATTATAGTTTACTTCTGTATGTCACTATAATATAGCATATTTGTTTAAGAAAAATTTTTGAATTTTAAATTGTATAGCATTTATTTTGTTTCGTAAACATGTGTTTGACACCCTATTTTATATAAATGGGCTTTTACGAATTACTTTTATACTACTTTGACATAGTTCATAATCGTTTGTCAACAAGAACTCTTTCTTAGGACAAAAAACGTATTTCTCTCTCACAAGAATTTTTAACTGCTGGATACCTGGTCTTAAAACTACCTGTTTACCAATTAGTAATCTTAATTAATTAAGATAAAGCAGTGTAGAATATCAGTCCAAATGAGGAAGCTGGTGTTGTAGTGAAAAACGTATCATAAAATTTGAAATCATTATCATGAATAATCTTACAGACATGACCATCCAAATTATTTAATATTAAACGTTATTTTAAATATGTTTCCCAATCACATGGGTAAAAAGAATCAATAATATCAACATTACACTAATAATACATTATCACTTCCTTTGTCATCATTCAACCGGAGAAGTTTCTTGCAAAATTCAAGCATTTGGCAGTTCGTTCTTCAGAATCTTGAAATCAACGCACAAATAAATTTGAATAATTCAATGTCAATTAGTATTACATTTCTTCAGGAGAGTTTTTTTGTAAGCATTAGAATATATAATCTGTATAAGTAAATATGATTCCGAATTTGCAATATTGTTTCCAATATAAATAAAAGTTAGCTCAACGCCTCGTGGCTCAGTGGATTATGATGGTTAGTAAGGGAGAGATTAGGAGTTTAGCCTACGAAAACTGATATATACTATAAATTTTGTTACAATTTTCTCAAATTATTGTGAGATTTTTACTTCACAGTTTACAGACCGCAACACGTGTTTTGCTATACAATATCTTTTTCGGGAGTGTCTATACTAACTGAGTTAATCTAGACTGGGTCTATACCAAGTCTATACTAAGTTGGTATAGACTGAGTATAGACTAAGATAGTATAGACCTAGTCTATACTGAGTAAGGATAGACACCCCTGAAGAAGCTACTGAATAGCGAAACATATGTTGCAGTTTTGTGAACTGTGTAGTGAAAATCTCACGTAAGGTGTTTTTTGCTACAAATGCTTTAAACATATACATGGTCAAATATACTATCTATCACGTGATGTATATAAAAGCTGGATGCTGGTTGACCTACTCTGAAAATATCTCACAAAATTCTGTGGAAATCATCTTTGTTCAATTCCTGAATATTTTTCATTTTGCAAGGGTGAATTTGTGTCGATGAATTTTGATTACATTTGTACGACTTACTCCTGATGCTTGTAACAACTTAGTCAAAGACAGGACATTTTCCATCATGTGCAAGATTAATGCCTTCCTTATTGACTATTCCTGAAAGGGCATGTTGCCTGTCATTAATGTTACCACTTTTCATGAATTTATGTAATTACATTACATTACATTACATTACATATTTATGTCTCAAATTTCATCCCGGATCATTCTCCATTTTCCATATTTGTAGTACAAACCCACTATTTCAATCCGCTTTTGAAGCGTCACTATTTGAGAATAATTTTGGCATACACATCAATAACTTCAGAAATTCAGGACCATATTGTTGTGTACTTGAACAAGAAATTTTCCACCATGAGTTGTTATTTCTATCTTAATTAGTATCATTCAATAGTGCTCAGTTCAAATATTTCAAATAATGAAATTGTGTGTTCAGGTTGACCTTCTACTTTGTACTGTATATAAATTGGAGACAAAACTGTTGGTGATTTATTTCTTTTGGCCTTCTTTTCGTACTGTGAATTTTTTTCAGGAACAAAAAGAAGATCATCTACATTTTATGAGCAAATGGTCAGGTGACAATCGTACATATATTGCAGCTAAACCATTACCTGGACAAGGAGCCTTAATTTACATGGCAGTTTCATCGGATCCATCTCTAGGATGGGACCACCCTTAATATTTTCATAATCAGTGTTCAATAAATTGATGATCAAATCTTTGTTATTCTCTTTGTACACACAACTCAAAAATATATGAACTCGAGTTCATTTTCGCCTTAGAAAAATATAAAAGTGTGAAAAATAAGTAACTTACTTTAGAAATTTTCCCAAACGAGGGGCAATTTAGCATCATTCATGTAAGTGAAATATTACCTCTTTCATTTACTATATTGTGTATCAATCCTGTGAATGATTTCTGATTCAATTACTTAACAAATAATTGGAATACAAACTGAATACAGAAAAGTGTTTTCTGTATAATATAGTGTTCAATTAAAACAATTTCTAGGCATGACTGTTCGTTGCTGCGGAGGAAGTCGATTGCAGCTACTGTGTGCACAAGTTACCAACTTCCAAATCAAAATAAATTTTTCTATTTCTTACATTACTTTGAAAAACTCACCTATATTTACAAAATATATTCAATAACTATCAACGCCTCTTTCGACCACCTGAAGTCTTTCCTTTTCGTTGTCCCTTCCCTCCTTTCGGCTTCTTTGAATTTGCTTTGCCTTTACCTTTCGAACTTCTGTTACCTGAACTTTGCTTCTCCTGAGAACGCCTGAAAAAATAAATGTAGTTCTGCTGATAGGGAGAAATGCTTGTTTTTTAATTAAAATTTCTCATTTGTTGTCCCATAATTTATTGAATTGAATTTGTTTTTTATTAAAAGTTTGTACCGACTCGAAAATAAAATGTTGTTACAAACATAAAAAACATGATCAGAAAATTTTTAAACAATTTAAATTGAAGAAATAACTTTTTAGAAGAGATTGACTCCGTCATTAGGGATGACAATGTTCCATGCACGAGAAATTTTATTTCTTTCATATACGATATTGTGTAGCAACCCTGTAAATGATATCGGATTCATTTCTATAACAAATTTTTGGAATACAAAATGAATTGAAAAAAGTGTTTTTTATATAATCAAGCATTCATATAAAAGTATTTGTTTTGAGAGGGCTTTTCTTCCAGTTAGTGTCTGAAAGTAACTTCTATGCATGAGCTACACTTCCTTGAAGAGTTTATTTCAATCCACCCGAGATTACTATATAGAAAAACATTGTTTGAATTGAAAATTAACTCACTCTAACTGTTCATTGCTAATATGTCGAGCTACAGCTTTCTCGATATCCAATTTTGGTTTTTTGTTCAAAATAGTATCAACAATTGCCAAATTTTCGCTTCTTTCTTCGGCACCGGATACAGGAGGTAGTTTTCGCTTCCTTGTTACTCCTGGGGTAATATCTGCTACACCTCTTGCTTCTTTTTCTTTAGGAAGCTTACTTTGAAATTTACCAAGGCTAGCAGTTGATGCCTTTGCTACCGTAACTGCAGTTTGCAACTGAAATAAATTTACATTTCACATGAACAAGAAAGTTAACATCAAATCAATGACCCAACTTCTAATGACTTTTGTCAGGTACATGAATTTATTTCAGTAAAATTTCTTGTGATAAAACGAAAGGGCAGATAATCATCAAATGTTATTCATTGGTTACATTCAACGGAACTGAAGGTAAGAAGAAAACTGTAGATTGTAATAGTTCTGTACTTACATCTTTAGCAGTAGACACTTCGGAATTTGTAACCCCAACCCTTGGAATTTTAATTTTCTTAGCTTTGGCGATATTTCTCAATCGCTGCAACTCATTTTTCGCTACCTTTTCACTTGTAGCTTGACTTTTCTTAGCAAATTGATCTTCCATTGGATCAGCATTCCCTGGAACCTCCAATAACCAGCTCTTTTCTTTTTCTGATTGAGCCCTTTTGAAACCATATGTGGGAACCCACTTTCGTAGCTGTTCATCCCATGAGAGTTTATTCTTTTTCTTTTTCTGAATTCCTTTATCCTTTGCGAATTGTTGCCATTTGGTCAGTGGTTTGGGCCTGGGAACAGGTTTCATACGGGGTAACACTGTTTTTTGAGGAGGGAATTTACCCACAACAATGCCATCTACTCGCTCTGTTGGCAGGTCCCAAATTTGATTAACCAGCAACTGGGCATTATCTCTGGCCAAGTCCCGCAGATAGTCATTGGGTCGTTTCCTAAATAATAAAAAAGAATCTAACATCTCATAAACAAAACAATGCCTAAGAACATACCTAAGAAGTTCAGTATCTAATTCGTTAGTATCCGTTGCAAGTAAGGTTCCTAGGTCATACACCAGATCAATATGTTTATTAACGGTAATAGATTTATATTTTTCAACATCATAAGCTGATTTTTCTAAAATTTCCTTAACGACGTCCATGTTGCAATTAGAAAAATGAGAATTAACCACACTTTTCATAAAATACACACGTGAATGTACAACTTACTAATTGAAAAAACACTAAAGTATGCAGGGATGCCACTCAAAATTTGATTTTCGTACTACAATTTACATAATTTAGTAGTATATTCAGTGATCTTATAAATTTGCATGAAAGAATGCTTCATATTTCAAAGATAAATTTTCGAAAGTTTGTACATAGATATTATATAGATACTCAGTCATTATATTACAGTATCTATATATCTATTCATGAATTGATCTGTATTAGTAAATAATTATATACATAGTGGCAACACGGTAAATAAAATAAGTTCTGTCGCTCAGTTCAACTGAATGTCACCACCGGAGAGCGCGCTGGAGGGCAAAAGGTGAAAACGACAATTCAACATTTTTAAACAGTTATTCAAATGCCCGAGAGATGGATGTGGAATTTTGTTTTGTTTCAGAAATTTTAAGGATATTTATCGGTTCTCGGAATATAAATTAGTTATAAAAAATATGCCCCTTTGATCCATGTGAGTAGTCCTAATCACAAAGTTCCAAACTCGAAGTATTATTACTCTGAGGTTCCAAATTATACTGACAATGATTGTAAGTTGGCAAGGGCGTGTAGAGACACGCCTGAAGAAGCATTTGCTGATGACTATTCTTACAAACTTCAATAGAAAAATAACTTGTAGGAAAAACGGAAGTGCGTTTGAGCGATAATGAATAAAATGAAATCAATATCACTTTCTGCTTCTATCAATTTGAGAACTTTTTTTTCCAGTATTTGAAAAAGTATTTTATTTTTTTTACCCTTCTGCTGAAATCTTGTTTCCAATTGAGCTTCTAGGTATATTAACAGTATTTTAAAAACCTACTATCTGAACAAACATGGCATACCGCCTTTCCCTATTCTGTATTGGGGGTTCATCTCTTTTATCGTTTGAGCAGCGCTATCATCGGAAAAAAATCATCCAAATATGAACAATCTCTGATTTTTAGAGATGTTGTTTTGTGAATACCTCACAGAACTATAAATTGGTTATTCCACAGAACTATAATTAAGTTATAGTTCTGTGGAACTATATTATTCTTTTTCATTCATTTACCTCAGCAAACAGTGCTATCCGGTCAGTTGGTAACAAAGGTCATTTATTGAGCCATGTGTGCTCACACTTATTTTAGTTTGGGACAAACCCATCTATATTTGGTAGGAAGTACTATCCGGGAACGTGTACAAGGCTATAAAAATCGTCTCTTCCCTGGAGCTTAAATGTTGTTCATGTACTACAAAAGCATCTCACTAGCAAAGCACATAATCTATTAGTGGAACTAGACCAGTGATCGTCACTGTCTACATTAATATTACAAAGCATACACTATTACACCTTGAGATGGGAGGGAAAGGAAGGAATGATGCCTTCATGATATGAATGTTGACACTGTCGCTTTTTCCATCAAGAGCTCATTAAAAAAGCAAGGAAGACCTTAAATACCTCTTTCTGGTAAATGGGATATTATCCTATATTTGATTGAATCGATCCCTGGTGCCAAGCCCCGTTTATTCTTTATGGCCATTGAAAATATATCCATAGAAAATGGTGAACTGGTCGCTGAGGTATCCAATGTTATGAACTGGAATTGAGAGTGGGGCTTGTAACATATATAATTCATAGATTTCGAAAATGCGCTAATCGAAGACGAGACTTCATTAATAAAAGTGGAGGGAGATAATTTTGAATAAAACTGGTGAAAACCGTTCTTTTATTTCTCCTCTAGATCAATCGCATTGGAGTCATAATACGCTCGACCACAACAAAATTTTCCAGAAAAGGACTTTTACTTCGAGAATGCAGCTTAGCTTCTGAGCATTTTTGGTTCTATTACCGCTGAATATGTAACTTCAGTGAGTTTTGTTTCTTTTTTATGGCAACACTGATGGACGATTCCAGTACCCCTATTCAGTGTTACCACTATAAAATTTTCGGGTCTAAATCGACTGACATTTACTAGGCCTTTTTTGGAATATTTCAAAGTCGGAACAAATAAAATTTGTAATTTTATAGATTGCTGTATGTTCTGGGATATATGAATCGAAGTTTTAAAGTTGATATGAACAGATTGTTCAATTGTTCGAAACCTGTTACCTATATATGTTTACCTGTTGTCACAAACATAGCATTTCAGTGTTCAGTTTGTTTCTGCCAAGTAGTTACGTTTTGATAATGTATTCTGTAGGTGTTGTATGATATCTTCTTCCATACCATTATTAGTACCCGAAGATGTTCGAGGTACCCTATTGAAAGACAATTTATTGGTTGAAGACCATTCAGTTGCAAACCCCCAAAGACAATGAATTAATACAACAATAAAATTTCATATGGTATATGACATGTGACGGTAAAAATGACAGGATTACTACTTTTAAACAACGTACATATCAACTTCAATACTTCGATTCATATATCCGGGAACATCCAGAAATCTATAAAATTAAAAATTCTATCTGTTTCGACTTTGAATTATTCCAAAAAAGGCATTGAAAATGTCACTCGATTCAGACCCGAAAATTTTATAGTGGCTACACTGAATAGGGGTACTAGAAACATCCATTAGGGTGCGTCGTAACTGGGAAAATGACCTTAAATGTCAAAATAATCCTTTTCCTTCGCCATTTTGTATTTGTTGTCGAGTTGGTCATTATAATCTTATTACAATATTTTATTGGATTGCCCCAATTTTATTTTTCCATATTTCTCGTATATTCCGTTATAGTGGCGTCCAAGTCGAAGAAAATTTACACCATGACGGCCCACGACCAAATGCGGGCTATGCTGGATCAGCTTATGGGAACAGGAAGAAATGGTTGGTACAGAAATCAATAGATCAGCGTTCATCTTTGATAATAATGAATTAATAAATTATGCGTCATTTCAGGAGAAAATAATAAGTTTCAAGTGAAATTCAACGATCCCAGAGTTTGCAAATCGTTTTTACTGGCTTGTTGCCCTCATGAGATACTTTCCTCCACGGTAAGTGTATTACTCTCTTAAGTATTTAGGCATAGAGAAATTTCAGAGAATATGATGAATTTCAGACCTCTGCCTCTCTGAACGTTTGATTCATTCGATTTTGTTATTTTCGGTAACTAATATCGCACTGTGTTTTCAGAAACTTCAATTATCTATAATAAGATGAGGAATAGGTGTTTGTTTTGTATGTAAGTACTATGACGTACGTATGAAAATTTCAGTTACTAGGTATATTTTGATATAAGACTATCATCAAGAGGTGATTGTTTTAAAATGTTTCAAATCGAACAAGCAACAGGAAATTAATAAAATCTGCACTTCAAACTTGAACCATTTCATGATTCTTGAACCTATTTTTTTTATTAATTTCTTGATTGTCCCTTTTCTATATTGGTTGCCACAAAGAAGGTATGGTAACAACATAAATTGTAGTTTCATGAATTCACTTTACTAGAAGTTTCTAGATATTGGTAAGTAATATTAAGTAAAAGAGAGATCAGAACTGCATGTACCGTACTACATACAAAATAAAAATATGTAAAGAACACAGGATATTTGTGAGTATGCAAAAATAAGTTCTAAATTCCCCGCACTGGCTTTAGTGAGTATAAGAGTAATAGGCAAATGAAAATCATTGAAATTGACGTTCTTTTCAATTTTTCTCCATTATTGACAGTCACATTTCTCCACTTGTAAAGAAAAACATTCAGGCTTTGGATAATTCCAGTCCAATTTTTCTCCGGAATTAACCATAATAATTGTAAGTTTATAATTTATATTTTTATTTCTACTAATATCTGACTGTATCTGAAATTCAAACCCTATTGTTGATTATTATGAACACAGTTATATTAAATAAAAAAACATAATAGATTGGAAAGTGTACAAGCTAAATTATAATAATATCAAGATGAAAAGTATTACCTGAGTGGCAAATATGTCTGTTTGACTACATATTGATTTTATTGAATTTATATTTGTTTCTCTCAATATGAAAGTTCATAAGGCCTGGTACTAATTAATAGCCAATACAAATTATCATTTAGTGGATGACATATGATGTACTGTTTGGAACCTTTGGTGTAGTAATGAATATTAATGGAGTTTTTTTCCCAACACCAAGAGGAAGATAAAACTGTTTTATAAGTTTTATCCTCCTCTTGAAGATGATCACTTGGTGATCGAAACACTTGTTGAGGTGTAAAAATAACGATTTGTTGTTGGAAAAAAAACTCCAGTAATATTTATTTAGTGGATGACAGTTTAATGGGCAATCCACCCAAGGTTTTTGCATTTTCCCCTGAGATTCATATTATTAGGAAGATAATTATTTTCAATTCATACATTTTGGTATACCCTGAGTAAACAATTTGTGTGCAGATATTCAAATTTTCTTTGTAAGCTTCAAAATTTGCATACTATTTGTGCTATAATCATTATCGAAACAATTCATGATTTATAAACACTTTGCCATTTGTAATATTTTTCGTTACATTACAATTAAACTTCCAAAATCAAACATCTCATTGGTAAAGGACTCCCAGATTTACAAGGAATTCAAGATGTTCAGTCCTTAAAGACCCAATGTAAATGACAATTTTCTTCAATACACTCGACATTTTCAAGTATTCGGGAAACATTGACTATATTTTTTTCTATTTTGTGACACTCATATTAGGTGACAAATTCTGCTCAACACTATGATGTACCATGGACAAAAAGATAAGATTAATGAATTCAATTTGTAATTCCCATTCTTAAGAAAGTGTAACTAGAAAATGTCTTGAACTTCACCAGTTACTCAAATATATTGAGCTATTTTCCCCTACTGTGTTCATAATAATGAATTGTTTATATAATTTGTTCTAAGGATGATGGGCATCATGTATTGTAAATTTTTTATATATAATTTATTTTCATTCTATAGTTTTTAATGAATGGACACAGCTTCCCAGATTTTTATCTGTCCTCTGTGTCTGTTTGTTAATTATGTTCTATCTAATGTTATATAAGAAAGCCTATATTAATATATTATTTTTGTACATTTTTCATTTTAACTGTGTTCCGTTTCTTGTGTGTACTGAATCAAATGCCACTTTTTTATCGTTCACTTCTGGCAGTAAAAGTCCATTTTTCCCTGGTAAAAATATGACAATAGTAGATGTGGACAATTAGTCAGGATTATACAGAGGAATATCACATTAGTAAAGAAGGTTATATGTAAAAACGTATTACTTCCTTATTATTTTTCAGTCTAATTTCATAATTTATTCTGATGAAACAACAATGAGAGGAAATAATTAGTTTTCATGCTCTCCTGCAAAGTGCACAAATTTTAGTGAAGACCTTTTGAACTAATAGTAATGATATTATGAGTTACCTACTTTGAAAAATTTGCGAGGTACAATAAATAAGTCTTATTAGATGGTAAGACGCTAACGTAAAATGAAAATATCAGTAGAAAAGTACTGTACGAGAAAATTAGGAAAAAATACTACCTGGTAACACAGCAAGTGAAACAAGAACTTAGTGATAATATAGGATAGAATATGACGAAAAACAACCAACCGAAGAAAACTTATGACTAAACTATGTACATCCAACAAACAAAGTTACCTAACCTAACCCAAATGGGGGGAAATTTAAAACAGAATCATCTCGAAACCATATGGTTGAAAAAATTAAGGAGAAACGTCATAAAAATATCAAAACTGATGTTAATACTAAAATGTATGGGAATGCGAGTGAAATCTAGATGGATAATAAATGTACAGAACCAAGGAAATATATAACAAAAAAGAGAACAAAAATAACACTAAATGAGGTCAGGCAGGAAAACAGCAATAAATAGAAATGAAGAAAGGAAAAAAATAATATTCACACTCTAATGTCAAAAACACTGTGTTACAAAATAAATATCTTTCACTTTATTCCCATTTTATTTTCGAAATTCCACTTGAATTCTGGATTTCAATACAATAATAATGTGTGTATAATCTGAAATATCCTTGGATGACCCATCATTCTTGGATTTCGATTTAAAACTCTCCAAAAAGTTCACCAGAAAAGTCATTTGAACCCTATCATCTTGAATCTTATTTGTATTATGGCAGATATGTTTCCTAATGGAAAGTTCTACAATCCTGATCAGAGTTTGTTTTACTATAAATTAATTTTTGTATATTTTGACAGAGAATGGACTTGGGTGATTGTCCCAAAATTCATGATTTGGCATTGAGAGCGGATTTTGAAAAAGCCCAGCAAACAAAAGATTACTTCTATGATCTTGATGTAAGTATCCAATTTTCTATTTACACAAATTTTATGTATCTTTCGAGAGAGCAGGGTAACATTATTCATTTTATAAGCCCATATTTTTCGAAAGCGAATTATAACATTTATAATATTAAATCTGACAAATAATAAAGACTATCTGCCATTTGATTAATATACCAGAGACATTACTTTATATGTTGGCCTTAAATTGATCCTTAACCAAAACTTTATTCAATATTACATTATTATACCTAACATACTACCAACATTTTACATTCACTGATTGATCTAGAAATTTCTTGAAAAATTAAATCTATTTTCTGTTCATCATGAGGAAATCAAGTCAATTTTAGGTGTTCTGCCAGAGTGAGGTTTTACCACTTCGATTAGCAAATCCACTATCAAAGAATTTTTGGAGTAGGAAGTTTTTCTAAATCTTTTTCGATTTATTGGATTTACTGGTTTTTCAGCTGCTAATCCACAAAATGTAGAGTGGGAACAAATATATCATTCAAATGCTTGATTAATAAACTTCTCATGAATATGGTATCTTCAAAAGCTAATTTATAGATGAATTCATTGATATTGAGTTGAAATTTGAAGAACATCTCAAGTCAAGAGTAAGATCTCCTCCGGATATTGTGCAGTGAGAATAGTATCTAAAATCAATTGGGCTTCAACACAAGATCACTTATTCTTTACATCTACTCAAGAAATTCAAAATGATGTTTTTAAAAACTTTGTTACTACCTTAGGAACTACAGCATGATCAATTCACCTACAGTATTGTGGTAAATTTTCCTAGAATTATATCTAGATTAGACTTACATAATTTCATGGTCGTCTGAACTTGGAAATCAAAAATATTCATAAATTACATGCCTATATATTTCATCCAAACTAAATACATCTGTGCTCTTTGTTTTTTTCATATGCCGAATACATACCACACTTGTATGTATGATTTGTTAGTTTGTTAAAAAAATGCATTTTTTTCACGACACATCAATTGTAAGATAAATATTTTCAAGGCCATGGAACATTTGCAAGCCTTTATAGGTGATTGTGACAGAAGAACTGAAGCTGCTAAACAACGTTTAGCTGAAACCCAGGAGGAACTATCAGCGGAAGTTGCTGTGAAAGCAAACAATGTTCACGAACTTGCTGAACAAATTGGACAGAAGTTGGCTAAGGCAGAACAACTTGGAGAAGAAGGTTTCGTGGATGAGAGCATGAAGCTCATGGAGGAAGTAAGTCGGTTATTTCATTCACATGAAGAAAAATTTAAATATTTTATTTTATCAAACGAACATACAGACAGAACAGTATTCTGGTGTAAAGTAGTTGAAAATCTTAAATTATGGCACTACTTCGTTTATTGCTTCTAAAGTATAAATTATGTTTTTATAGAAATAGTGCTCTGTTAAACTAGTTTTGTTATTTTGAATATAAATTATGCTTATTTGTATTGTATTCAATGGATGGTGTAGAATCATATTTTCACTATTTTAGAATGATTTTAAAAGAGTCTCCAATATTACCATTATTGCCTTGTTTATATGAAGTTGCAAAGAACAATTTGAAAAAAGAAAATATGTCATCCTATAGTAACGGCTACATCCATCAATTAATCTAATTTAATTTTTTCAACCAGGTAGACGAATTGAGGAAAAAGAAATTAGATGCGGAACAAGAATATCGCAACTCTATGCCTGCCAGCAGCTACCAACAACAGAAGCTGAGAGTTTGTGAGGTTTGTTCAGCGTATCTAGGTATCCATGACAATGACAGACGATTGGCCGATCATTTTGGTGGAAAACTCCATCTTGGTTTCATTAAAATCAGAGAGAAACTGACGGAACTAGAGGTAAGAGGTACAAAATTGGATTCAAAATATCACTTTCACAAACTACATCGGAAATTATTTAATTCACAAACTTTATTTCACTTTATTTGTGAAGATCAAATCGTTTCTGGTGTAGTTTGTAAAGTTACTATGGACCTTCATCAAGTAACGGCCGAGGCAATCAGAAAATCAAAATCTTACATTGATTATTCAAATCTTATTGTTTCAGAAAACCGCTGAGAAGAGAAGAGAGGATAAGAAAAGAGCTGGTAAAGATAGAGATCGTGACAACAGAGATGATAGATTCGATAGGCGTTACCGTGAGCATTACGTTGGAGGAAGAGAATTGGACAGAAGATCCAAACGTCACAGGTCAAGGTCTAGGGAACGCAAAGAAAAAGAACCCCGCAAAGAAAGAGATGATGAAGGAAGCAAGAGCAGCCGGTCATATAGATCCAGGTTAGTATTACACCATTATTTGGTAATCGTATGTTCAGAACCATTCGATGAAGGAAGGTATGTGTACGAAAGATTCTTCAAGTTCTACGATGCTGATGCAACAACTATTCAGTTCTGCATCATTCAAATTCTCCTCAACCTCAGCATATTCCTAATGCAATTTTCTGCTGTAATATTTGAACCAGAACTTGCAGAAGATTCATCTTCATTACATACCCTTGATCGAAAACCTCGTTATTCTTTTAAAAATCGTCACTTGCGTTCATTTCAATGATATTGAAAAGAACATCTCAAGTCAAGAGTAAGATCTCCTCCACTCTCAATAACTTGTATCGACCAACTTCAACAAACATTGTTTATAAAATAAAGGGATTCATGGAAATAGAAAAAATCATTACACTTGAACAAGTTGAACTTATACATGGAATCTTGAATAAATACATTTTATGTAATACCACCATGGAAACAGAAGAAGATACACATAATCACTATACAAGATATGCTGTAAGACTGAAACTAATATACATGAGAACAAAGAAAAATCAGGATACACCAATATATAGAGAAATCCATCAATACAATATACTTCCTGTAGACTTCACGAATATTGCTTCCAGGACTGAATTCAAAAAAGCTTTGAAAAAATTCTATTTGAACATACAGATAACTGTTTAGAAAATAGGCTGATTGAGTATAATTTCACCATGTTGTAGCTTTCAAACAATAGTTACACCAACATGTAGGTGTGGAACTTCATTTTATTTTATTTTATTCTTATTTTATTTTATACTAATTTTTTTTGTTTTCAATTTTAAAGTCCATCTTTATATACATACTTTTTGTTTTTTGAACACAAATTATGTATGTAATGCAGAACTCGAAGAATTTTTCTCAATTTGGAATTAGTTTGAAAGATCACTAATGAGACTCGCAAATATTTTACTCAAAGTAGTAGATATTTAAATTTTGTGTAGAACCAGATTGAGAATGGAGTGCACTATTATTCAGTCATGTTGAGTAGCATAAAAATTTTATTGTTTTATGATGTGGTTTGAAAATATCAATTTTTTTTTCTTTTCAGATCAAGAAGTCGTGATCGCGATCGCAGATCTCATTCTCGTCATTCAGGTTCAAGCGATAAAAAGAGGGAGCGTGATAGGGATTAATACAGTTGTTAAGAAAAGTTTTGGGATAAGTTTTGGTTACATTTATGAATAGTATGTTTTTATACTATAATGAAATTGTATTATAGCTCTGGTAACAAGATCATGATATAGTTTTGACAAATTCACTTCATTTTCAAATTTTTATTCATGTTATTGAAGCTTACTGTTGAAGGCAATTTTTTTGGATGAGTTTTCTTTCAATTATATTTCATGATACTTCAGCTCGTAAAACTAAAATTACAAATTTTGGTGTATTTGACATTCAATCAAATAAAATTCTATAGTGAATACATCTTTTCTAACTTCTTAGGTCAAATAAAATCTCTGAAGTAATTTTGTTATGATGTTTTTCTGTTCTCAAAAAGTGAACACCTTGGTTTTGTTCACTTTGTTAATCCTGCAGTGAGTGTTTCAAAGATTCAAACTGCTGTCCACACAGTGTTCATCATCTGGGATGTTCTAAGAATCAGCTGAAATGGATTTGAACGTAAACTACAGAAAGAATTTTTGGTAATACCTACTTTATTAGCTTTAAGACTATAATTTTGTTGATTTGTACTAACTGTATCTATAGATTTGTTGATTATTTTATTAGCGTCCCTAGGAAATAATTCTCAACTCTGTTCAATGTATTAGATAGTGTAGATACTTAATATATCAATCAATATATCATGTAATGCTTTGGAAATAAATATAATGTTGAGATCTTATTTTTTTTTTAGCATGTCTAATTTCAAAATATCCGTGCATTGAAATACAAAATTAAAACTTATGTATGGACAAAGTTCAAATTGTTTTATTGAAAAGTGTACAGTAACTGTGCTAGTGTCACGGACCGACCGCAAGTGCCACTAACACTGCGTTTAACCAAATTCTTTGTTCCTATTTATTAGACAACTGACTTTTGTCCAGTGAAAAACGTCGTATTTTTAAGGCATGATGAAAACTGTCCGTGTAGTGGAAACGACAGAAAACAATTCACAACAAAACACGCAACACTACTTTTTGTCCGTTTGGTGGAACTCGAGTTTGTTTAAGAAATTAAAACAAGATTAATTTTTGTCTACAGGCTCGTTCATATTTGTCCGATTATTTTCATTTTTGTTGTTGATCACATTGAGTGTTCATACTTATAGGACACATTTTCATGCAAATATTTTGTTGGTTATCGTTTTCTTCCATATTAAACACAAAAGTTGTTTTACTTACATGTTTAAGAGAAAGAACACTCATTGATTTTCTTTCAACTTTATTCATTAAAGCAATCTACAGTTCCTTATAGGGGAGCACATAAATGCTCCATCAAACTAGTCGGATATGGATTTACACATAGTATAAAATTTTGATAGTGAAATAATATATGATGAAAAGAAGATATCACAATCAACATTTAAAATGTTTCGAAGCTATTTATCTTTCCCAAAAAGATCCCAAAATTTATATTAAATTCATCATACTGCTTAATGCTCTCCCATCGAATAAAATCCTCCCAATGATGATAAAAATTGAAAACAGAGACACATATTAAATAAATCTGTGACAGATAACGAGAGAACAGAACACCTCTTTACCGCCTATTGGCAGGGTATTTGGAGGAGCTTAGTTCAAGGTGTGATAAGATTTATGGAACACTGTCAATGACGTAAGAAGCACTGTCCGCGAATTAGCTAATCAGAGGGCGAGAGGTAAAGACGACAGTTCAACCTTTGTTTATAAACTAACCGTTCAACATTTAAACTGAAATTTTAGTGCTAAGAGACGGATGTTTGATTATGCTTGTTTAAGGAATTTTAAGTTTTTTTTGTGAGGTTTCAGCATATTGATTAGGTAATAAGATGCCCTCTAATTATTCAAGAATTCACTCAAGTTTGAATTATCAATAATGATAAAAAAATCATTCCTAATTTATGATTAACAATGATAATAATAACAATTCTTGGAAGTTCCATAAAAAAATCCTTTGAAAGCTTTTTTTGACAACTGAATAGCACTCTGTGAGGAAATTTGGAACTAAGGAAAGTAAAGAATAACAGTCTATTTGTCCACCGCCAGGGGTACATATTTAGTGTGATTTAAATATGCCATTTTTTAGTTTTGTATTATAAAGAAATCGATAGTATTTCACACTACAAGGGCAGAAAGCTTGAATTTCTGCAGGGCTTTCAAATTTTCTGCCTGTATAGTGTTATAGCCGGTCGAAAGTACGATAGTACCATTATGACATTTGCTAATGTCAACATTGTCCCGTGTGTTTAACTGACTGTGTTTAACGTTTTTCTTGACCAAATACTCCATGAAGTTGGAAGTTTCTACTTTTTGATTAGAACTTTGAAATAAATAACCAAATGATTTTCCTCTAAGTTCGATAGAGAATTTTTATGTTCCATCTGCCATTTTACGTACTTTTCATTAACTAGTTTGTACCGATTCTCAGACTTGTTTGGAAACGTTTTATTCTGTATTATAAATTACGCCTCTGCATCAAAATATCTTATCACGTCTTCAACGTCCATAGATTCGTCACTTGAAACCATTTCGTTCATACTTTCTTTATTCATTTTTTTGGTGGACACAAATTTTTAATGTATATTCATACAACTAACACTCAGAATAATTTCATACTATTGACTCTGTTTATATCTGGATACCGAAGTAATAGCGGTTAATAAAAAGTGGCTATAAATGATGACCGATTCTAAAGACAATTTTTATTTGCAATTAATTATAAGTAGTTTTCTCATATTTTTCAAGTACAATTCACTTGTTGAAATTAAAATATTTCTAAACAGACATATGCGTATTACTTATAGACGTCAAAGGCTGCATTCAAGATTACACCCGAAAGGCCCGAGGCGTGCAATGAACGGGTCAAGACCACTGAACTGTATATATAAAAGTTCAGTGGCCAAGACCTGTAGCATTCGTTCGAAGTGACATAATTTGAGAGAAGGAACTATGATAAAATGATATCCTATCATTGGCAACACTGTCTTTCTATAAAATAAGGGGCGAGAGAGAAAGATATATGAGCAATGAAAATGACAAAGAGAAGTTGATAGGGATTGAGAACGGAAACGGAAGTACATTCCATAGAACAACCGGGATTCTCTACCCTACGCCATTTTGGGTGTTGTCGTCTTTGAACAACGTTGTATCGGAGCGTTGTTTTGCGCAGGTTGAATTCTCTTTTTTTTTTTAATAGAAGTTGTAGACAAAAGACGTATTCGAAAACCAACTTTTCTTTCAACTAGGTAAGTTTATATTGTGTTACCTAATAAGTTTATGTTGTATTAATATCATTTTAAAATCTTGCGAATCTATCCGGCAATCGGCGTTTCGCGGCGTAAGGTGACGCATCACTTTAAATTCTCGTTTCTATCGATCAGAATACAAGAGTACAGTTTTAAATTGAGTATGTGGTTTGATATTGCGTATTTCGAAAAAAAGAGTTCAAATTGTGTTTGTTCAGATTCATAATCCGAGTTAGGATGCATCGTCGTTATCAAATCCGCCATGTTGTACATGATCCACTTTGCCATGTCACCACCACAAGCCATGATACGATCAACTTCATTTTTTCAAATATCTCAAGAATGAAAATATTTGACTAGAAATTCCGTCGACTAAAAAATCACTAAAATTTTCAGGATTAGTTTTATCAAATGCATAATCATAACTTTATAAGTAATTCACAGGAAAGTGTAAAAGTCGACACTAAACTCAATTGAATTTGTTTAATTCATTATATAATCCATAATGGAAAAAACATCTATAAATCGACCATCCAAGAAGAAAACTGAACAACTGCTTCAATAAACCAGGAATAGGCTCAGAAAAGTTGAATTGAAGTACCTATGGAAAAAGAGCACATCATTTTTCGTCCAATTCCATATTTATTTAAATTCAGATGTTGATGCATAACGTCTGAAAATTTTATTGGGTTTATTCATGGAGCAAATTCGATTCATTGAAGTAATGTGCTATTCATGCATATTCAGATTCGATTTTAATTCTATGACCATTGTTTGAGATAATTATAGTATTAACTCAGAATACATAAGAAATGTGGAAATTACTCAAATTTCATTTTATTTTTCCACATTCTTATCAAGTGTTCACAATACAAAGTCTAGTTTATTAATGAAAATCGTTTATGTGTGAGGCCACTAAAGTTGAAGCTCTACTTATGTTTCAATTCTGTCCAACTTAATCATTACTGAAACTCACTATCATGTGTTGAAAATTATTATTTATTCAAAGAGTATTATACCAATTGTTTCATTATTACTCGAAGACGGTAAAAATAATTGATTGAAGTAGGCTAAACTTTAATAACTCTCGTATTATGCGCTGTTCGTGATTAAATACTTTTAAGTATATTCATGCTCTTTCCTGGTAATACCACAGTCAATTTTTAATGGTAGTATTGTTGAGATGTAGAAAGTGAACATTTGAGAATACAAAATTTCTCAGAAAATTAAACTTCATAGAACTTTAGTTCCCCAAGTTCCTTCTCATCGTTCTCGTAAACTGCCATGATGACTTCATTGACGATTTGACGGAGATGTTAATTTCCAGATAGAGTATGACACAAAAAAACTAATCTTATAAACCTATTTCTCTAATCAGTCTTATAAAAAATTCAGAAAGGATATCTGTATAAAAATTAATGAACAGTGATTACTCTAATGATTGTAATAGATTGCTCAAACCAGTTAAATCTATAGTTTAAACTCCAACCTGTAAAACTGGCTTATAGAGAAATATTTGTTATAGTATCCTGCCCTGAAGATTTGATGTTTCAGGAAGAAAAATATATTTTACATTTTGTCATATTGACCAGCCATTTTCTTGTTCAGTTGAATATCAAGAAAACCTAAGAGACTTCTTAAAAAAAACCCAAATATTATTCTTTCAGTAGCAATTTATGTTATGTTCAGATTATCTGTTAACATTATTTCTTGGATTTTGATGCTCAACTTGAAATAATATTAATACAAAGTTGGAACTCTTAAAAGAAGTTGATCTTGAAAAAAATTAATGTACTTAGATCTCTGACAGATTTTTTTCCCACCCTAAGTATGTGGGTTTTGACAAGTAGGTAATTGTTTCTCTAGAAAGTCTTGTTAATTTTGAATTCGAAAGGATAAATTAACGATAATGCATCTCTTATTGTTGGAAGTTTATTTCTCTTCAAGATCTTGTGGCGATGAAGCCGCGCTAAGCATATATTTTCATTTTGACGAGTTTCAGGCCGTGACCGGAAGTCGCCGTCGCAAGTATGCCGGGTTTTAGCAGCGCGGGCACATTCAAAATATTTATCGGAAACCTCGCCGAGAAAACGACTGTGGCTGATCTTCGTCCCCTTTTTGAAAAATTCGGGAAGGTCGTAGAATGCGACGTGGTCAAGAATTACGGATTCGTCCATATGGAGAACGAATCGGAAGGACGCGAAGCCATTCAAAATCTGAACGGACACGTATTGAACACACAACCATTGAAATGTGAAGCAGCGAAGAGTCGGAAAGCGCCCCAGACACCTACGACGAAGATTTTTGTTGGCAATTTGACGGATAACACGAAGGCTCCTCAGATTCGCGAACTTTTCAAAAAATTCGGCACGGTGGTCGAATGCGACATCGTTCGCAACTATGGTTTCGTACATCTAGAGTCATCGGGCGACGTGAACGAAGCTATTAAAGAATTGAACGGCACTAATGTGGACGGGCAACCGATGAAGGTGCAGGTGTCTACGAGCCGGGTGCGTCAACGGCCCGGCATGGGCGATCCGGAGCAATGCTATCGATGCGGACGCGGCGGTCACTGGTCCAAGGAGTGCCCCAAGGGCATGGGACCGGACAGATTCCGCGACCGTATGTTCGGAAGAGATCCCTATCCACCTCCGCCGCCGCCACCCTTCCTGCGCGACCGCATGATGGGTCGATTTGGGGTACGCGATATTTTGATTTACTTTATTTTATAACTTCTGACAAATCATGAGTAACGTCAGAAAAAATATGTCCGGTAGAATGAACATCCCTAAAGAGCATGGCAGAGGGTTACTGAAGTTGAATGGGGGCTAGTAAACGTGATTAATCCTAAATAATATCAATAACTTTTGTAGGTGTTCTCTAATATAATTTTATATATGTAACTTTATCTTTCATCTCAATTGCTTATAGTTTCCGGCTATATCCATAAACCATTCTTTTTCTTATATATGTGTGCTAGACGTGCTCAAACTAAAAAGTCTACTTGAGTTGTTCATAGCATTTTACTAGGATCCTTCCTTTTATATATTTTTTGCCATTAGCTGCTTATTTCATGATAAAAAAATTTGCAGTTACTCTCATTGCTTCTTATTGATTAATCTAATTGTTTTAAAAAATTGAACAGGTTGATACGTAGTAGCTCTTGTAATTAACAAATTTTATTATGCTTTAAATGGGGTTATCATTCAAAACCATTTCCTTGAGCCTGCATTACAGAAAACTGTAGCTTTCTGTAAAAACATTTCATATATACAATGTGTCCCACTTTTCGTGAATCTACCCCCATATCTCTATTGTTTGATATGCTCTGTGCAGAAGAAGAAAGTAAGGCTCTTTACAAAATATCACAAAGATGTGTACCTACTTTGATATTCTTAAATTGTATTTACTCAAAAATAAAATTCACAGAGCTCTGCATATATTTATTCAAAGTACCTTCAAGAATTATATGCGATAAATTTACGTTGTGTTTAACCGCATAACATGTCTGTTTAATTGAAGTAGCTGAATCTTTCTGAAATTTTGTATGGAGTAATAATTTCTCGAGCTGAAAACTTATCTTAGTAAAATTTTGACCTTATCATCTTGAAAATGATACATCTATATTTCTACATTTTCAAATAGTTTCAGAAGTGTGATTATTACTATTGACCTACTGTTATTGAAGATAGCACTGTCTGTTAGCCCGTCCTTTCAACTTGAGTTACCTCATACAAGAGATGAGTTTTTGTTATCATAACTTCAAAATTTCTGAAGGTATTCTAATGGGGTTGTTTTCATATGCCTGCCTTTTGGAAATACAATAAACAAATCATTAAAAAAAATTAGTTCCCTCTTCAAAAGAGTTGATTGTTTACTTAAAAGGTTGTAGAATCATGGAAATTTAATGAATGGGAATGTTTTTACAAATCAAATTTTGTGACTGATACCTGAAAATTGTATATTTTTTGAAATACTGCTAAGTTTTATATTATTTCTCAGCAAACCGCTGCTCCTCATGATTTTTTTAATGGGATTGTTGGTTCTACAGATCAGATTATGTATGTTGTAGATTTTTTCTGATCATTTAGAGTTTTTCACATCGTCTGGATATATTTGAAAGCTGCATTCTTCCATTTCAACTAATGCAATCATTATCTCAACATTGTGTGTGCTTAAAATGAATCTAAATCACAAAATCCACACCTTGCCAATGACAAAAAACTTGTTCTTAACTACTATTGTCAAGAGTTTCAAGATCCACCTGATTTTGACAGATAACTTCTAAAAATTCAGGTTTTCAGAAATGTTTTAAATTGTATAGATGTGATATTGTTTTCTAACGAAAAATACACTTTTAGAGAAATATAATTTGATCACTGTTGGTTTATGATGTTGTGATATTGAAGAAAAATCATTCAGCTTCATCAAAAATCACCTAAATTTCTGATGAGTGAGTAGGAGACATTTGAGTTTAGGTGAATTTCACTAAAATGGTTTAATAAACAACTTTGAATTTGAAAATTATGTTCTCCTACTGGCTTTATCTTAGTGCTTTGGTTAACTTATCTTTTTTCAATTTAGGATAGTTACGATGGATATTATGATAGAAGGTTTGAAGATTCCCGTGACGTCTATGAACGCCGGTACACAGGTATGCCTACAAGTCGCGATATTGGAATTCGGAGCAGCAGAGCGGATTTCATGACTCCTCCATTACCACCGCGTAGGGAACCTTTGCCGCCTATGCCCTCTATTGGATTACGTGGAACTCCATCGAGCAGTATGAGCAGTAGCTTGAGAGACAGCGGATTTTCCCGCAGCAGTAGCAGTGATTATGGCATGTTCAGCAGGAGATCACCTCCACCATCTAGCAGTATGACTGGTTTGAGCAGGAGCAGAATATATGAGGATTTTAGTAGAGATTCGTTTGATGATAGAAGGTTTGTCTAATGATTGTGACAGTTAATGTTCAGTTTCTCTCATTAGTGTTGGAAAATTATTGTGTTCAAGTACTTGTCAGTGTAAAATTATTTAGCCTTTATTTTTATTTGTAACAAAATACATTGATATATACTTAGGTAATTCTATTATTACTCCTCAGCTCTTGAGTAAGTTCCCTTCATTTCCATTTTAAAGTTCTATTCTACCACACTTGAAGCTAATTGTGTCTACAAAAACAACTAATTCGAGAGAAGTTTGTATTACCAGAGTCATACTTGAGAGAAACTTATCAATGATACACTTTTCAATTATAGCTGACTAAAAAGTTAGCATGTCATTGGAATTATTCCTTTTGAGTGATTTATTACGACATGCCTTTTCAAAATGGATTCTAGGTAAATCAATGTAGCATATTAAATTCAGCTGATTTGATGTTCATTCTGCTTGTTATAAAATGCTTATGGACTGTGAACATATTTCATTACTTCAAGTAAGGTTTATTGGTCATACATATCATACAACTCTTTCGTTAACATCAATTTCATTTTACTTTTGATCTTTCCTATGTTTACTTTTTGTAGTTATTATTCGTATATCTTAATTTTATTTGCTGCCTGTAGTTTTGGTGATGAGAATTTAACCATGTTTTATTTACAGACCCGGACTGCGTGGACCTTCGCCATCTAGAAGATATGCCCCCTATTAAATGGCATGGATTTGAATACATCTACTTCTCAAAAGTTCTATCATAAGGTTCTGATGAGAACCTTGTGGAATTTATCATATTCAATGATAATAGTTACATGTCTAGATCTAAGTCCCCACTTTTTTTTTTTTTTACCAAGTGACAATTGTGTATTGTAATTCCCTTGATGTTGATTTTACTATATTAATGGTAAATAAAGTACTGCAGTGATTTTTTTTTGTTATTAACAAGTTTTATACTTTTAGAGATCTTGTGAGATTTATATTTATATAAAAGTGTAATAATAACGAGAGTTTGCATATATCGTTAATGAACTTAGGAGGGGACACTCAAAGACATTACTGCTCAGTCCCTGAAAAATTGTCAAAAAATGTGCATTCCAGCTTCAATCCATTAGGAAACCTTCCAAGTCGAGGAAATCAATTCAAATTTTCAAAAATACTCCAAGACTGCACTAGAAATCATTGCCATACTAATATAATTACTTAGGATGACCTAGCCAATTAGACTAATAATAGCTCTCAAAGCTACACTAGCTAAAATTTGTGAAAATTATAAGGGTGATTTTTTTCCTTAAATGCAGATCCCTGTAAGCAGTTGGACTTTCAAGACTGTAAAAATACCAAAGATGCTATTTTCTTATTCCTAAACAAAAGTATACACCTAGTTGAATAATGAGATGATACCAAAGCTTTCGATTGTGAGTCATAAAATACTGTTATGGAAACTTTATCACTACTGAATAGGTGTTCTCCTTGGATAATGTAATTCCTACCTAGCAGGTGGAAGCCATTTGGTAAAAGAATACTCTGAAAAAGCGTACATGAAGACTGAAGTACATCAAGGCTCAATATTGGGCCCCACCCTTCTTTTTGGTGTATATATCAATGATTTGTCTAATGTCAAAATATCTAGACATTTTTCGCTGTCCTATGCCATTGACGTCACCCTAACATGGTACAGTTCAGATTTACTGAAATAAAACTTTTCTTTCTCATGAATCTACCACGTAGTAACGGCTACATCCATCAATTTGTTCGTCTTTAGAGTCCTTAATTGAATTAATTCATAAAGATGTTAACAACTTGAGTAGAAAATATTGCAACTCAAATAAGCTTTCTTTCAATGCCTCGGCACCATATAGAAATGTTTACTTCTTTACGGTGGTATCGGAGACCAATGTTGTCGCTTTCACAGGGCAGATTGAAAAAGTTTCATTAAGAGAATCAGTTGAGAACAAACGTCATACATTTCTGAAGTAACACATTGATAGCAGACTGAATTTCGATAATCATATTGAGGCTCTCCAAAGCAAACCAGCATCTGGCTGTTATGCAGTTTGTCTCATATCCAATGAACTCGTAACTGTCCAAAGCAAAGAATTGAATATCTCCTGCATTTATGACTGTATGTGTTTTTTGTGTCTATTTTTTTAACTATTAACATAAGATTTGTCAATAAGAATTTTTGTTCTTCAGACAATAAAGAATATTTCTCTCTCTATGTAAACTGTTCCAAGAAAATATCAAGTTACTTAATACTTTGTAACCACGAATCATTTCTTGCATGATAAACTATACTATCATAATATTGTGTATGTTTCTAAATTCGAGTTTTAAATCAGTCTTAGTCAACAGAATTCTAATTTTTTGACAAAAGAGTGAAATGAATAGTTGCTCGTTGTGTTCACCGACCGTTTCCACATAGCAGACTCCGTTTACAGAAACAGAGGCAAAAACACAGAGACCTTTTGATCTTTCCAACTGCTAACAGGACATTTCGTTCTTGACACTTGAAACAGTAGCTCACGACACAGTCTTCAAAATGTTTCTTACTTTGACAATTCAAGTTTTGTCGAAATCGACACAGTTGCTGTTTTGTTATGGTTTTGTGAGTTTGGTGGAAATTCCCTTCTAGGATAGTTATCAGGAAATTACTCTTAATTCATATGATCTGAGACGTCAATGATTGTGATCCATTACAGGTTATGTTGAGATATTCCAACAGCAATATTTCTTTGTCTACATTACCTTCTAATGTTCAATCAAATGAGTCGAAGGGCATATATTATATGCTGTTAATACTCTTGGTATTCCATGAATGAAAAAATACTTTTGGGAGACTCAATAATATAAGTAGAAATATTTTACTTATTTGACGAGTTCAGTCCATTTTGAAAAGGAGTCTATTACAAATGAAATAAAAGAAAAACTGGAAAACTTATTTATCAATTATATCATTGTCTATACAGAGTCTAAACTCCATCTTTAGTCTTCAGCCCATATGATTTTTCGTTTCTTTTTCTTTCAGTGAATTTAAGTACTACTATTCTGTTTTCTGAATAAACTTGATCTTCAACAAAAATCAGAAAGAAAAATTCACCTATTTTCTTTATTCCTTGAGACTGGTTAACCATTACTAACATAGTTTCTTATTTTCTGTATTGAATCTTGATGACTTTATTGTTGAAATTCATTTTTTATCACCTTCCATTATATTGATGGACATGAATCTGTGATAGAGATTATCAGCTTCTGAACAACCTCTGGAGATAGCATCAACAGTAAAGATTAAATTCCCAAGTTTATAAACAACATTAATTTCAATTGTATGCCTTGTAATTAGACTTCATGGAATTTTGTTTATCTTTATTCAATAAACTAACCAATGGCAAATGAGCCATATTAATGAATCATTTTCCTTCCATACTGACTTTTATGAATATTAATGGAGTTCTATCCAACACCAAACTGTTGAAGTTTGAAGAAAAAGATTATACTTTCTCTTGAAGGTGATCAAAACAAGTGCCGAGGTGTTAAAATAATGGTTTGGTGTTGGGATTAAATGCTAGTAATATTAATTACTACACCAACGGTTCCAAACAGTGCATCACAAAAACTGACTTTGATGCATGAATATATATATTGTTAGAAATTCTATTTCAATTCCATAACTAATTTCTGTCTCAGAAAGACTTTTGGATCCATTTCTGAAGCAATACATTTCCTAAACCTGAATTCGAAACTGAATAATGAGTTCTTTTGAACTATCAAATTTTGTAAAATTGAACCAGAGGCAACAACTTATTTGGGGATATTGAAACATTGAGAATGTGAGTACAATCTATCATCATTGGTTACTCTTCAATTTCTCAAAGACAATTGAAACTTTCAGTTTTCAAGATATTCATTTCCTAAAAAGAAAAAATGAAGGATTATGACTTTTTATTTCATTTACAGTGATCTAGTAGCATAAATCTAAACAATATACATAATCGTTTGGTCATCAACCATTTTTCTCAATAAAGTGAAATATTTATCAACAAACCTGGCAGGCAATTATGATTTTGAATAGAACAGACCTGACATTTTTCACATTTGCGGCAAGCACCAACACAACTTTGCGAGAAGATATAAAGTTTTGCTCGAGAAACATGAATATTTGTGAACTACATGTCTAAGAAGTAATATATTCAACTAATCATCTGAAGCAACACAATATTTTTTAAAGAAATTTTACAGATTTTGTTCATTCCTATCGTATCTCCATGTTTAATGAGTCATTCATATTAGCCAGTTTTAAAGATATCACAATCCTGTTTTTCATTATATACCAATTTTAATTACATCCGAGTTTTAAGAGAAATTTAAATTCAATACATCACAATTAAAAATGATACATACAAAAATTTCTCAAAGAAAAAACAAACATGGAAAAAACAATACATATGTGAAAAAGTTGATAAAATACCAATATATATACATATGAGTATACCTCGAAATATATGCAATTTTACCTTATAACCAAAAAAAATATTTTCAATTTATAGAAAAATATTTCCTGAGAGCAATAAAATAAAAAAAAATTACTTGAAAAGAAACCCCGATTAAAACTTCTTTATGAAAATTAGAATATGCATATTGTTGATCTCTAAATAAAATAGGACACATTATTAATTGATAGTCACAAACGGATAGACTAGAATAATAATCATTGAAAATATACAGATATTGATAATTAAAAAAAAAAACAAGAATGAAATTAAATGGGAATTAAATAGTTTACTTAATATCAATCTGTTAAGGGATTCTTGACTTATCACAGCTCATAAAATAACAGATGTACATAAATAGAATATACTACAAACATTCTGAAGTAGATCATTTGCATTCTACACAATAATACATGAATGAAAAAATTTTTCAATTATAATTCCAAATTTCCAACTCAAATTTATTATTTTTTACGCGGACCCATTCAGACTGTTAGGTAGTATATTCAGTATTGCAATATAAGGTAAAATCTACTTGAAAGAATCCTAAAGGGCATTTCGATGCTGCACCCATGTCTTTTTAGTATGATCAAACCTATGAGCCAACCATTGCTGTTCTAGAAGCTGGTACCTTTCTTTGCAAAGGTATAAAGGTTTTCCTCGTCTGAAATAAAAAATCAATCATAGTGAATGTGTGAATGTGTAATGTGTATATAATAAGTACTACTATATACTAATATTAATGAAAAGAGAAATGAAACTTTCTATGTTTTTTACCACTTTTATTTGTAACTAACGTTACTGCAGTTTCGTCCTATACGGACATTTTCAAACTTATACAATAAACTAACAATGATTCATTACATTCGCCATTATATACCACTCCTGTAGGTACTGATAGAAATAGAGGTACTTGACTCGATTGAGTACATGAATTTACAGTTCACAATGCGGATGTGCCAATTTAAAAACCGGCGAGTAAACTAAATCGATTTGATCATTTAACAGGTTGCACCCGCCATGTTTATGCTTGTGAATTTCCAAGGATTCTAAATAATTGAGTTTGCAACCCTTCCTGGCATAGTACAGAATTTCCGTTTTCGTTTAGATTCGGAAACTTGTGGTTGCATGCCAAGGAATGGTTTGAAAACGTCGAATAATTTTTTCTAAGTCTGAAGGACCTTTCATGTTCAGCATACCGTTTTTGGAAATTTCGACCACATTGTCCCACTTGAACATTTTTACACTCCGGTCTCTTGAGCTTATAAACTCCAGATTTCTCCAACTTGTCCTTTTTATCTTTGGCATTGAAAAGGAAATGAGATAACCTGGCATGTGGTCTGAATGCCACTTTCACATTGTTTTTTCTGAAGAAACCCGCAATTATCTCTGTTCTTTTTCAAAAATACGTTAGCGTTACCCATTTCTTGATTTCTGTTTGTTTGACCTGAGGGTATATTAATCTGTAAGTGAATTTCCGGCTTTGTTTCCTGACTAACTTCAAGATAGTATCTGTGTTGAAACCATTATTATGACCTATCTGTGTAATTATATCAATTTCCCTAGCTAGATTATTATCAGACAAAGGCAGTGAGAATGCTCTGTGCACTGTTCGAATCCATCAGTAGATATGGTTTGTCTGTCTGGAGCTCGGCAGCTCAGTTTCATTCAAATGTTATTTTCGTCATTCAGAAGAGGGCTGTAAGATCTATTATTGGAGCTAATTTTGAAGACTCCTGCAAACCAATCTTTAAAACGTTGAAAATGATGACACTTTACTCTCTGTTAATTTTTGTAAAGTTACTATATGTCAAACAAAACATTAATAGTAATAGTTGATTATATCTCAAACCCGGTTACAAAGAATAGACGATACTATTGATATTAAATTGTACAATGCCCCACCTCACAGTACATTCTCTGAACTTCACTGAATTCAAAAAGCATTTAAAGACATTACTTACAGAAAATCCCCTATATGGTATTAATGACTTTTTCCATTCATTTTCTGGACCATAGAGCAAAGATGCCTTGCACGATTGTATGTATGTACTGCATTATTATTTTTATTGCACAGTTAAGTATCTTCTGAAGATTTTATATTTTACTTTTTGAGCATATGTTAATTTTATCGTATTTTGTGACACGTTCTAAAACTGTAGCTTTGTTATGAACCAAATAAAAGTTTGAATTTGAATTATAATATATTGATCTTTTGATAATAAGAGCCAGTACGATTGTCTAACAAAAAAAAAGATTTGAAGTAATGTTATATCAAGTGTGTTGTCAACATTCGCCAGAATTAAAAGTATGAAGGAGAATTGCTCTCAAGAAAGTTATACTTACTTCAAATCTCTATCTTCTTCAGCAAAATCGTCGAGATACAGGGATCCCCAAAGACAAGCCCTAAGTCCTCGAATAACAATTATATATGTTGAAGTGACGACTAGAAAAACGCCAGTTCCAGCACCACATTCCGCAGCATGAGCCACTGCCTCGCAAACGTTTTGCTGTTTGCAACAATTTTGTTTGAGGCACACGATGGCTCCACACAATAAACATATGCTTGTTTCTTGTGCCACTGACTGACACTGGCTGCATGGTCTTTCATGATAATACTGTAAAAAAAAAATTCATTATTATACTTGTCCTACATATGATGGTGGGCCAAAAGCCCGAAACACGTGTATATTTATATATATATCAGATTTCATATTCGATACCTTAACGGGGAGATGAGGTCAACTAAGAAGAAGAAGAACTCAGGTAAAACTCAACAATATTTAAGTAGTAGGTAGTAGAGAGTTTATGGACGCTCTATATCTGAACACATAACGAATACCGTTTTACCAGTATAGTAAGAAGTGAGTTGAGCAGGTCAACAAAACTTCTGAACACATAATAGCACACCTAGATAATGACAAATGAGATTTTGTCGAAACGTCGGTGAAATTAGAAATAATATCACATAAACGGATCAAATACCCAAAAAACCAGTATATATGTAGATAAGTACTTTCTGATCATTCCCATATTGAGCCACCGGTGGCTCTTAAATTGAAATCAATATGGGAATGATCCTAAAGTACTGTTACAGAATTTTCTGTAACAGTATTCAAAGGATTTTCATTTCATAACAAAATTTTCTCATGGCACACGTCAATATTTCTGCCCCTAATGAAGGACCAAAATGTCTGGATCATAGCATCCATTCTTAAGTCTACCGCCAGCTACTTTAGTAGTTACTAGTCTATCGCTATCCCTCTCAATTACACGAACAAATATCATGCACACTCTCTTTCATCAAAAGGGGTAGAAACACCCAAAGCTGCAAAGCTCGTTAATTTAAAGAGAGGGTTTATCCAACAATTCCGTGTATGCAAAAAAATGTAAAAAAGTCATATATTTACCGTAAATATTTTTTCATACTCTCTTGGTAGTTCCAACAACTTGGGAGGGTTCCACAAAATATGCTGATCTACCAGAAAACTCCTTGCGGCAATCTGACTCTTGCTTATGAAGGCTGCCATCTGATCACACCAGGACTGAGGTGAGGCAGTTGACATTGAAGTGTTTTGGGGCCAATTGAGAGCCACTGCGGCATTGAAGCAATCCCAGTCCATCGACTCGGTAACGAGTTCCAGATAGTACACCAAACGAACGAATTCATTCTCACTACCTCGAATATCTGGAAGCGGCTGCTGGTAAAGATGGTATTTCAGAAGAGAGGCTATTCGGAGAAACGGAAGGCACAGCTTCTGAACCTGGAACGTGTATTATCAAAATTAGTAAACGCTGTTCACTGGATTTTCTTTTAGGGAACGAATATTTTTTGTAGGTTTTATCCAATTTTTAAATTTTGGTAGTCTGGGAAAACACATTAAGAAAATAAGAAAAAAGCAATGTGTACAGGGAACACATTCACGTGACACCACATATTTTGGATTTTTTTATTGATTGTATTTTGTAAGACATGGCTGTCTTATGCCCATCTTCAAACCTGGTAGTGCCACAAAAATTATGTGAATCGCTCTAATGATTCATTGTAGAATATATAGATTTTTACACACTTATACGAATTGCAAATCCAAACTTCCATTGCCACAATACCCAACACTTAACTGGGTAAGCCAAAAATTAAGTTCAACTGACTTCCTCTGAAATAAACAAATAAGCAAATGAGATGTGAACAATTTCAATATAAATATCACTGTTTACGTAGATTGTAAATTCAAAATATTAGTTAGTTTCGAAGTCAAATGATAAGAATTCATCGATACTATAAAAAGTGTTTTCCAGACAGATATTCCTCATATAATTTGTAAACGAAGCTGTATTTGAGTTTTTTATATCTTCTGGTAGTTTTTTGAATAAAATAGGGCCATAATTTTTCGAAAAACGGCAGTGATTCAGTCTTGTTAATTCAATTTTAATATGTTGTGATTGTCTGGTGTTATGTGAATGAAAATAGTTTTGATTTAGATATAAATGAGGATTTTTTTACGCTTTGTTAGTAGAAAACTATGTGAATTTAGAGGAGAAAAGAAATATTACAGTTTCTTTGTAATAAATAAAGACATGTTTCCACTTAACTAGTGCCTATATCTCTTGAGAAATTTCAAAACATTGTAAATAAAAGTATTTTTCCTGTACCATATCCTATGGATTTCTTTCATCATAATAATTAAATTGTAGTCACTCTACTTTATTTTTCTGAACTGAAATGAATTAATGAATTCACATATCATAATGATAAACAGAAAGTTTTGCAAGTGATCCTTTGAAAACGGAAACAACTCATATTTTTTCAACTTCATCTGTTCTCATAATCTTAAAGATTATTGTGAAGTTGAAAAATCTGCCATAAAAGTTAAACAAATGAGTGCAAAGGAATTATCTCTCTCTTCCTTAAAAATCATATATTGATCGTTTGTTAGACTAATAATTCTCAGCAAACCGCTGCTCCTCATGATTTTTTTAATGGGATTGTTGGTTCTACAGATCAGATTATGTATGTTGTAGATTTTTTCTGATCATTTAGAGTTTTTCACATCGTCTGGATATATTTGAAAGCTGCATTCTTCCATTTCAACTAATGCAATCATTAATTTTCTTGTTTATTGAATAGGTTAAATCATTATCTATATATTTTTCAAAATGCTTCATAAGAAATTCAGTATGAACCAGTCTTATCAGAAAACAGTTATGTAGAAAACGTACCTGTTGCTCCAGAGCAATTATATTTACTTCAGGCTTACTACTGGAACCGTCACCGTCGTCTTCCATGTACAGATCTGTATGACCCAAACATTCGTTTATAAGATTCAACGAATCACTCAAACAACTGACTTGTCCAGGTGTCGATCCAGAAGCTGCCCTGAGTCTCTCAGCACCAGTCAGGCCACATGATACTTGTGCAACTACTTGATAATACAAGAGGTTGTATACCATTTGAACTGTCGTAGTGAAATAAGCTGAAAAAAAAAAATTCTACATAGTAAAAATATCTAGATTTGAAATATTGTTTCATTCTGATTTTTAACTGACCGAATTTAAGACTTCTTATGTTTGACTGAATTTCATTATAAAGATATCAGTTCAAAGAATTCATTTTGGAAGTTGTTACACACAGTTTGGGTATTTTCAATGAGTCGCCAGATTTGGTGAGAGAGAGTGGTTCATAATGTTGGTATTTTCATGAATTTTCAATAAACAATAATACATATATAAAGATGGCAAAGGCACTATATTATATTTCATGAAAAATGGTTGGCAGTAGTCGAATGCCCGAAACATTTGCAATGCTTCTTCCAGAACTGGAATTACCTCATAAAATAATGCCATAAAAAATTCTACTATGAATGAGAGCATAGTAAATGTTAAGTAGAACACCTTCGTAACAATTCCGTCTCAACTGCCTAAGGAGGAATATGGGAGAATATCTTTTTGCATCGATTCTTGTTATGACTAGACCAATTTACAGAACTTCCAGTTCGTATATTATTATGACTGGAGACGATAATGGTTTCAGTTTTCATTCTATTCAGTTTAAACTTATTGTAGTGTGCCACATTTTAGTTTTACCTTTAATCAGGATGACAATTGTATGGAGACTATCAATATTTTTTGTGATGAGAAATAGGTAGCATCATCCGCCTATGACACCATATCATAAGGGTATATGTCATTAATATATATGATAAATGAGAGTGGCCCCAAGACAGACCCCTGTGCACTATGTGAATTTTCTTGTCAAATATGAACGAATGAGAAAAATCGCAGGACCTAAGAAATTTAGGTCAAGAATGAACAAAATCTCGACTTTCAAAAATGACAAAAACCAAGATATATCTCAGTTCCATAGCACTAATACACGAAGTACTTTGGAAAGATTATCAAGGAACTAGGTATCAAGGTGGTTTTTAAAACAAGTCATACACTACAGAGCCTTTTAGGAAGTCCCAAAGACAAAGTCGAGAATTCGGAAAAGTCTGGAATTTAAAAAATCAAATGTAACCACTGTTGCGTTCTTGTTTTATAGGTGCCTAAAGGTTAAGCACGTTGAATTTTAATGGCTTTATTCAACTCAAGACACAAATTATAACAGAAAAATATTGCAAAGTATTATAAAATTGAGTAGTGCGTTGTCTCTACTGCTGTTAATAGTCTACTACCCCAGTCCCGAAGGTCGGGGTGCTAGGAACGTCCCTCTCCTCTTGACATTCACAGGGCCTGACTAAGGATGGCGTGAACAACGACTGTGATGCAAAATATTATGGACAGACAAAAAGATCTATTGAAATAAGATATAAGGAACACTTAGCACACTCAAAATATGTAAGACCTGAAAAATCAGCAGTCGCCCATAATTTTTTGCAAAAAAAATCATTTTGTACACTTTAGTTCAGTTCAAATGTTTTGTTTTTGAATGCATACATACATAAACTATGAAAGTATAATATTACTAAGATCTTCTGAATATATAAGATTAGTGTGACATGATCTTTTTTTCTTCAAGATTATTTTCAGTAAATAGTTCTGTTTTTGCAAGGAACTCTTATACATTGCTCCCCCCACCACAAACATTTGTTGGTGAAATTTGTTTCTTCGGGATAACTCACTTTGATCTAGGTGTAGAGGTAACAGCAGAATGAACTGCAACAACAAGGCAGTCGGATCTCTCAACAACAAAGGAACTTCTCTTTCGATGGGAGCCAATGTGGTAATAGGCACTTTTGCAGGTAGTCCGCACAGCTGTTGGAAAGTCATCCAAGCTGGCCACATTGCCAACACCCTGGCCACTCTAGCGTGAACGGCAAGGACGTGGAGTAAAGGAACTGAAAAAAAAAATGATGAAACCCAAAATCAAATCAAAGTAGACACTTACCTATGCAATCTCTTTTAGGTAACAAAGGATTTGTAGGGTCAGTCGAAGGTACCACTAGCGTTCCGCCTCTCTGAATCAGTTCCACTTCTAGATTCGTCCTTGCTATAGAAGTGACAAACAGAAATAAACTTTGGGGTATGGGATTCTCGCTTATTGGCTTGAACATTGGTTTCAATTGTGTGCTACTAGTCATGTCTTCCATAACTTTTCCTATTGCTTCAGCCATATCAGACGTACTCTAAAAAATTTAGACTAATGGAAGGGTTGATTTAACATGTTTTGTTATTTCTGAAATAATAATACATTTTTTCTCTGGCTATTAATAAACTGTCAAAAATATTATTCAAATATATGTTTTTCAAGACTATGAATTAAAAAAATCTACAAAGGCAAGTGAAGTATTTCGTCAAATGTGGTTGGAACAAACACTAAAATTAATTTTGCTGTATAATATGAAGGATATTAGTCCTTAGCTCGACTTCTGAGGGTTGTCGTTCGTTCGTAGGGGTGCGACATCTGGTTAACGGAAAAACATATTTTAAACATTTTTTTAAAACTTACATAGACTGAATATTTACATATATACAGGGTATCTCACAAGTCACGATTCAAACTGAAGGAGGTGATAGAAGGTCATTTGTTTAAATATTGGCAATAATTTAAAGGACGGTATCTGAAAATACAATGCAATTTGTATTTATACTCAATATTTCATTTCTAACTTGAATTATTGAAATAGGTTAGAACAATGAGAACATGTTACTTTAACAAGGACACCATGCTTTTTTATAAGAACTAAGAGAAGAAAAATACATAATATAATAATTTGAGGAAAATATTTACAATGAATGGTCGAAATGTGTACATGGCCTGCAGTGTTGAACAAAATGTCTGGATATTTCTAAATGACATATTTCATTTTTCTTTCACCATATGATGAATTCGTTCCCACAATTCTAGTTCATTATTACATTCTCATTCATAGCAACGCTCTTTCATGTGTTAGGAATCACACGTTAAAAGGTAAGACCTCGTTAGTCATTAGCTCGCACAAGTTTCTCAACTTCTGAGAGTTGTCGTTCGTATGGGGGCGACAGCTGATTGAACGGAAAAAAACAGAATTTTTTTAAACAGATATATCTCCAAAGAAAAAAACAAGGGGATTCAGATCCGTCCCAACACATCAACAATGGATGATATTGTTAGGAAAGAGAATATAGGCATAACGGTTGGTTCATGTCACGTACTTTTTGTTTGAAATATTGGGCATGAGGGGTGTTCCCAAGAATGGCTTTTTGCAACAATTGTGAAGATAAAAACCAAATCGTTTGGAAAACACGCTAGTACAAGTATATTATATATAAGTGGGGACTACTTTGAGGTGACAAAATAAAAATTGATGAGTAAACAAATATTTTTTTAGAAAAATGAAAATTCACCTTATTTTTTACCAGTCTTCGTATTTCTATGTGTATGGAGCTATTCGGTAGGCCTTACACAAGATTTTCTACATGAGAGGTAAAAGAAAAGTTTAAATTATTCAAAGTTATGTTTTTGGGAAGCACCCTCTGTATACTTTGTTGATATTAAAGCAAAAGAGTTGTTGAAATGGTGAAAGAAAATATCATGAGAGAAGAGAGATACAGATACAGTCTTCTGCTTTTGATTTTAGGACTGTTACTTGTTCATGTTCCTACATGTGAGTTGCAATCCAGCAGTTCGATCATTTCACACTTATGATCTTAAGCAACCCACCATATATTCCAAATGTTGAAGGTTTCATTAATGAATATATTATGAAGACAGTTTCCAAATGAATGAGTAGCCACAAAAATTATTTGCTTCAAATCGAATGATTGAAATAGATCAGACACTTGTCGAGCATTGTTTTATTGTTCTCTAAAATGAACAACAATATGTAGAAATACTGTTTTCGGCTCGAAAAAAAGGCAGTAGTAAATTCCTGAAGCACGAATCGACTATGTTACATATGACAAAATAAGCCAATCTCTTTCCAATGCAAGAGTAAAAAGTCAACACTCATTTTGTCAATGCAATATATTCCATTCGTGTTTCAAGGCTTATACCCCAGATACGTGAGTTGAAAATAGTTTTTCATAGGCTGTAGCGTTTCATATCTTATAACTTCAATGCAATGTGCAATTGCAATATACAACTATTCCTTTGCAAAATATACAGATTCGAGATTTTTGTTTGCAGATTATTGAGCTGTCTTGTTTATGATCATGTACATTTATTTCTATGTTCTATAAATTTCAAAGTGATTTTTTTATTCTGCAGTAAAGTGCATACTTTCAATATATAAATAGAATTGATATTTTGTTAACGTTATGGTTTATAGATTTTTAGATAGATAGATAGATATATACTTTATTGGTGTTAATATACTTACAGTATTCACACAAGTCAAACAAAGATACAACATAAAATAAGCTTATTAACATTATATTAAAATTACACACTAAAACAATACCAAGATAGAACCTTGTGGAACCCCTGTTGAAATGCATCTACTTGAAAGGAATTGTGAAACTTACCGGTTTTTGGTCGTTTTCCCTCAAAAAATTACTAAGTTCATCCAAAACAAAAGACATACTCTCATTTTTTTTTGCTCGTACCATTTGTGTCTTATCACCCAGTTCGGCAGTTAGAGGCAAGACTGAGTTAGCCAGTTGTCTGCAGAGGGGACACAAATATTCACCCCTAGAAGATTCAAAAGTATCAAAACCTATATCACAAAATCAAAGAGTAGTTGCTTACTTTTCTGGGGACAGGGTGTTGGAACGTTGTAAGGTTCTCAAAGATATTAAATAGGAATTCAAACAGTATAAATGAAGGTAGTGTCCACATGTCTGTACATGAACGCCTCCATCCCATCCAAGATTTACAGACAGAAACCAAGATTGCTGCAAAAATATTCATTAAAAAACAGTTGAGACAAATCTGTTTAAATCTTTAAAGAAAAGTTGTTGAAGAAAACAGTTCATATAATATCGTTTTACATTATTTATGAAACAAATCACAGGAAGAGACACTAACCGGATCAAAATGTCTGTCAAGCTCATATATTCTCTTATCGAACTCCCCTGATAAAGTATCATCTCTTCGCAAAAACTCTCTCTCATCCTCGCAAGTGGGTAAAACTGGTCTTTCCTGACCTTGTCGTCTTCGATGGCCTATAACGCTGGTTGCCTAAAATAACAAAATTTAATGTATTTTCAGTTGTTTTTTTAAATTATTTTTCGCCGCAATCTAACAATAATTTCAAGTCGAAACCAGAAACCAGAACTATACAACTATATTTTGATAAATTATAAATACTTCTTCGATTGACGACTTGTTTATTTTGTGGAAATTCATGTTCACTGAGGATACACTACAAAAACACACTTTTGTCTTTTTTCCACTATATTTCTTTATTGTTGACCGGTTTCAGCTATTACACCATTTTCAAAACTAACTGATTACATTTAAATCTGAGTAATTTATACCTATATTATTCTAGCATAAATGATTTGATATACCTGATATCCGGTACCTGCGTTTCATATACTTGTAAAATCCATGAACATAACAAAGCTTTCAATATAATGTATGTTTTGGGATCTGGAAAAACAGCCAATGAAGGACTAGCACAAACTAGTACGGGGACCAAGGTTGTTGGAATGGTTTTTATTCAATATTATGACCTGCTGGGTTTCAGAAAGGGACGATCTGAAAAGCAAGACAACCCCCCAAATCTAATACTTCATTTTACGCATTTCAATGCTTGCCAAAAATTGCAGCTTCATGTTCATTTAAATTTAGAGCTTGAAATGCTACATCTAAAATTTTAATGAGTAGCTCATCAAATACTTTTAGAAAACATTTTCAGCAAAGAAACACCCAGAAGACGATTAATTCTTTATTTCTCTAAAAACTTCTTTCTTGAATATTATTTGATATGAGAAAGAAAGCTTATCTAAAAAAAAACATATTAGGAAAGGAATCTAGGATGGAACCAGAACTATTCAACTATTTTCTAATCAATAATTTATGGACGAGTTCCAATTTCATTGAAACCAAAAACTTTCCTTCATTTCCAATTCTTCCATAATTCAAGTGGGAAAAATCAAATTGAAAAAAAATAAGCTTTTAGAATACACATAATAAAGTTTTACAGAACTTGATCAACAAAAATTTGTACCCTGTAAGATTCAACTTCCTACCTGTATGAGTACGACAAGTCCCATTGGATGGTCCTCTGTGCTAGGGGTACTTTGGCTGCAAATAACACAATCATATTCTTGTTGTTTAACCAGCTCTTCTGCTTCCATATCTATATTCTGATCAGTTTCCATGGCTTTCTCCATGAACTGTTTCTGCTTATTGGCAAACTCTTTCATTAATTTTTCTTGGCGTTCCTTTGCACGTCTACGTCGTTCTTCTCGTTCGCTTTCTTCACGCTGCCTCTTAGCTTCTTCACGTTCCTTCTGGTTCGGCCACAGTTTCAATCTCGTTTCCTGAAATTACAAGTATATAGGAACATTTCACAAAAAATGTTAGTAGTTACGTTTATATATTTTTTGCAGCTGCTATCTACAGACGACATCTTCCTCAAGAGTTTGGCAATGTAAAAGGTTCCATCACCGACAGGAGTTTCGTTTGGAGTAGAGGGTGCTTCAACTTCTTCGTCAGGATTGTAACTGTCCGGAGCACCGGATAGTTGAGAATGAAGGCGAAGAAGTAAAGATATTATGCTTTCATTCACTTTAACAGTTGGCGGATAATTGCTTGCTCCCTAGAAACAAACAATGATTATCACCCCAGCCCTAAAAAAAACGTTGAAATATCTCACAGCTACAGCCTGCTTCCTTCTTGTCCGACCAGGTTTTCTGTGACTTTGTGACGTTGTTGGAACCAATTCTCTACTGGCGGTAACTGGTTTTGCCTTTGGGACTGTCCTACCTACTTCGTTTCCAGCAATTAGAGCAGGTAGAGAAGACGGAGGAGGTAAAGCAGGTGTTTCCGTGGGACTTGGAGAATCTGCATTTCATACAGGTCAGATTGATTAAATCAAGATATACATGTTGCAATAAAATGATTCATTCATTAATATTCATATGGGTTGACTATTAACTTTATTCACAATAGTGCTGATGTCAAACTGAATTATGCACTTTAATGAATAGTACAGGATTACATAATTATTATTATTGCCAGAATAATCTGAATGTTTTTATATTGAATCTGGAAAATTTCACATTTGACTGTTGACTCATATTGATTCTTTCAGTTGTGTCTTCTTATTCAATATTTTATAATTGTTTTCAATTTTTATTTCAGTTTTTAATACCTATTCATAAACTTAATGTGTACTGCTCATAGTCAAAATCAAAATATTCTATATTGTCTGTCGATCCATATATTATTGACAAAGCTTGGTTAAAATAATTAAAAAAACAAAACTACACATATTAGCTATCGCTACTTAGTCAGGTAATAAATATTCAAGNCTGTTTCGAGGGCTTTTTCTTCCAGTTTGTGTCTGAAAGTTACTTCTTTGCATGATCTACACATATTTGTATAGTTAATTTTTTTGAAATTGATTCCTTCCTTTCTTTGGAAAATTACCACACTTTTTTTATCAAGATGATGGAGTAGAAGGCCAAAAAATTTCTTTGGCAAGAAATTCATCTCTCCTAAAATATACCCTTTCAATTTAGAACTGTTATGGTTTGCCTCTTTCCGTCATCCAAATGTTGCGATTTGATGTCTCTATCTTGTAAATTATACAAAATTTGAAGTACTGCAATGTTTTTCCCAACTTTTGGAAAATCAGTAATTATAGACATGAAGACTTGACAAACAGAAAAAAGTATTTTTATTATTTGAACTATAACAGGTTATTTATTACTACCATTCATTTTCTTATTCAGGTGATCCGTTAAATGTTGTTCTGCCTTATACATTATTTCTATCTGGTATCATATTTGATACCAAAACAAAAAAAAAATCCAAAAAAATATCTGGATAGGGACACCCTAATAATCAAGCGGTATGAAATATAATCCACAATCTATTCTCATGTCTACCAAATTTATTCAAAAATATATTAGGTATAACTTGCTAATTAGACTAAGATTATCATATTTTTTTAAGGTTATGTCATAAACCTGACATTGGATGTCAGTCGAGTTTTTAATTTCATTGGTGATCCAACTGATTGATTTTCTCATATAGTCAGTGGGCATACTTGGAGACTACAACAGCATATGCAGGAATAACTTCTGTGAAGAATCCTGCACTGACACCTGTCGGATATAATCCAACGCCCTTCGTGGTATTAGCCAGGGGAGTAGTTGTTTTCTGATAGGTGTCAGTCCATTAACCTACTGTGTAGGGAGTTGAGACTGGCCTGAACAAATTGTTCATAGATAATTCAACTAATTGATCGCATAGATTATTCTATTGGTCCATTTCTATTGATTGAAGCAATCTATCAGAAATATTTTGTTAAATTCAAAAACTTGCCCATGCATTGAATTCGCCGTCACTTGTTTCAACAATATTTTGATTATTTTTTCATTACTATCATTATAAAAAGAAAACATTCTCACCTTGTTATCGTCCTGAGCAGATATCAAAACAGCTTGTTCCAACAGAAACACTGTCAAGGCCATTACGTGTTCATTAACGTGTCCCCTGAGAGCTTTATAAAGGATGATTAAAGATGCTGCGTGAAACACTCTGGATTTTAAAATCTGGCGGGGATCTTCGTATTCCCCACAGACTTCAGTGGGTGTCCTAAATGGTGCCCAGGGAATCACTCCTGGTTTCAGTTTACCTGCATGCCTCGAACTGAAACAAGAGGTGAAGATATATTCAAATTCTTTGGGATCAAAACATCAATTCAAATTCAACATCCAAATTATAATATTAACTCCATAACGATTATGGAAACACATTCCTCATTATTTTTGAACACCCGCAGTCATTCAATTCAAACATCCAGCCCAAGCGCAATTCGACGCTTTCAGCAGAGAGCTTCGACAGCCTGAGCTTAATGAACTGCGCAACCCAATAACCTCGGATAATGTTCGAGGAGCTCTCGAACATAATCCGAGAACAGAGCTAAATAAATCTTCAAAATTATTATAATTTTAGACAATACTTACTATCGGGCATATCTATCCATTGAAAACTGATAATCTCTTCGATGCACAGCTCTAAGCAAGACGTGAATGGGATCGTACTGGGTTTCCCATACTTGAGGTTTCGGCACGTACATCCCCTGCTGCATGTTGCCGCTAGCCTCTAGGGCTGGGGCGCGATAATCGGCAGCTTCGTCCAGCAAAGATTCGAAATCGCGAACCTGAGAAGTCCCGCAACGTTCTGGCATCAGTTCCATCAGCTGGGAGTGAGTTTTGTCACCCATGCAGAGAAGAGTGACCATCTCCAAGCGGTTCATATCAGTTTCAGGTAAACCTGAAATGATATCTGACTAATTGTTGAATACATTTATGTGGGACTGCCTATCAATATTTTTAATAAAAAGGACCTCAAGGAAAATGAAGAATGTTTTAAATTATTTCCTGAGAAAAGTGAAATTTTAATATTTTGGAGAAGAAAGTGTTTGGTTTAAATTGAAATGGTTATATTTTCAGGAGTGATTCATTTTTGGGAATGTTTTGGCTGGCTTTCTACTACTACTACATTCAAAAACTATATTTAAAAGGGATAATAATGAAGATACGGAAAATTAGAGGCCAATAGTCTCTTTGAAAAATATAGAAAAAAAATATGGATTTCTTCAAAATGAATGTGGTTTTCAAGAAAAAAATATGTTTGAAATGGTAATTCTACAAGTGATTTATTGCATGATCTACACATTTTTTTAATTGATTACTTTCTTCCTTCATTTGGAAGATTTTCAGATTTAATTTATTTTTTGTAATGAGTGATTTTTTTGATGGTATTTTTTTGGCAACCCTGTTTTTGACAGATCAATCACGCGTGAATCGTGTCTTGTGTCATTGTCAAACTTATTCAGTTTGATCTATAATTTAACCATGAATCGACTTACGACTTTACAACGCTTGCAAATTATTGAATTTTATTATCAACATTCATGCTCGGTGAAGAAAGTGCATCGTGCACTTCTTCCAATTTATGGGCAGTTTCGTTGGCCTATTCGGAAGCTTGTGACTAAATTTCGAACCAAGTTTACATTATTGGACATTAAATCACCAACACGCATACGTTGAGTGAGGACCGAAGAAAATATTGCGGCTGTATTCGCCAGTCTTCGTGATGACCGTGAAATGTCGATTCGCCGCCGTTCGCAGCAATTGGGCCTCTGTTACTCTACTACGTGGAAATTTTTGCGAAAGGATTTGAGTGTAAAACCTTATAAGATACAGCTGGTGCAAGTATTGAAGCCACACGACCTCCCACAACGTCTATGGTGAATGGGCGCTGCCAAAGTTGGAGGAAGATCCACATTTTTATCGAAAAATTGTGTTCAGCGACGAGGCTTATTTCTGGTTGAATGAATACGTTAACACGCAAGATTGCCGCATCTGGAGTGAAGACCAGCCACAAGCATTGTAAAAGCTACCGATGCATCCCGAAAAAGTCACTGTTTGGTGTGGATTATGGGTCGGTGGCATCATCGGGTCGTACTTCTTCAAAGACGACAATGGCCGGAACGTTAATATGAATGGCGAGCGCTACCGTGTGATGATTGAAGACTTTTTGTTGCCCAAAATGGAATAATTGGACATGCCTGACATGTGGTTTCAACAAGACGGTGCCACATGCTAAACGGCACGCGAAACAATGGCCCAATTAAGAGCCGCCTTCGTTGAACAGTTTATCTCACGTTTGATTTAACGCCTTTGGATTTTTTATTGTTGGGTCATGTTAAGGCTCATGTCTCCAGGGATAAACCAGCAACGACTGACGCTCTGGAAGACATTTTTGTATTATGATCATGCATTTTATAATGTTTTAATATTCGAATATTAATTTTCAGGATATTTTTTGAGAATTTATGTACGAATTCAGCTTTTTCAAAGAGTAGACATTTAAATGATTCAAAATCATATTATTAGTCATTTCCAAATTTCAGTTTTTTTGTAAACTGATTTTATATTGTTTTTCTTCGTACTTCTATCGTTATTCATACTTCACCATGTAGGAAAATACAAATAAAGTATTTTGTTAACGAATTTATTATTTTAATGTTTTGATACATTATTATTAAAAAATCAGTTGAACCCCAAATTGCTGCTGAATATTGTAAATTTGAGTGACAAATATTCACTGAAAAAATATGTTAGAATAGACAATGACAACTTTCATCTCTTTCTGTTCCTCGAAGATTCAAACTAGAATCTATAATTCAAAACCATTCAATTGAATTTGGAATGAATTTGAGGACATAATTTTACTACATAAATCTGATAATTCGTATTCTACCTAATTATTTGAGTTTATTTGGTGTTGAAATATTGATTGATAGTGATAACCCTTTACAGAAGATAGAAGAAATCAAAAAGACAACCAACTACAAAAATTTGCGATGACCCTCAGAGAAAAAGTTCAATTTCAGTTGAAAAACCTTTGCCATTCATTAAAAAACACTGTTGTATTACACTGATTTATTTAAACGCTGAAAAAAAAAGTTAATCCTTACCTAGATTAGTTCTTACGCTTATGAGTGTAGCCATAAATATCAAAAAGCTCTCCAACATTGGAGTATCATTTTCACCCTCCATATATGCATTCTGAGGTCCTTGGTAAGCAGCTAAACTCATCCATTTTTTTATATGAAATCTAAAATATACATGAGGTTATTTAGAACTTCTACAAAAGCAAAACTAGCATGTTGGAAATTAATATTATTCAGACTCACTTTTCTATAACGGTATTCAAAAAGGTATCTGAAGGTATCCTAGTTGAGCAGACCTGTAGTAAGTAAAGATCAGCATCGACCATGGAGTTGCAGAAGTTGCACTGAATATAGGTCATAGCTTGGCCCTTGATCTGCAGACCATTTCTCAGCCACATTCCGTTCAAGATCTCGTAGAAGGCTACCTGCAACAATATAATTGAAAAAAAATTAGACACGCCATATTGAAAAAGAAGTATAACAAATTTTTGTAGAAAGAGTGATAGATTTCACAAAATTCCTTAGGTAATAATGTTATAATGCCAATAATAATTTCAGAAATAGATTTTCATTTGCTTCAAGAATGGCAAGTGGTCTTGCCGAAACGTCGTGACAATGTCGAAGACGAACTGATGAACACTTCAGCATGTGATTCCATCCGTAAAGGACTACACCAGAATATACTGAAAATTGATTACGCCCATCTTGTTGAAGGTACGTAAGTATGTCAAATTAGTTGTCATTCATTTAGCTTGTTTTGCCAAATTACCATGGACGGATATAACATTAAACGACATGTGTAAATGACAAAATAGTTTTATCAAAATGGGTGTTGTTTGGGCAACGTACCGCGCGCATCGCGGTGACAAGGCCCATTTCTGAACGAATGGGTACAAACTTGTGGAATTCGGGACGATACCAATTCACCAAGACCAATACCAATCCAAGACGGTCCAACGCATCCTGAAAAAGTCACTGTTTGGTGTGGATTCTGGGCTGACGGAGTCATCATAGGTCCATATTTCTTTGAGAACGACGTTGCCCAGGCCATCAATGTCAACGGCGAGCACTATAGCTTGATGATTACCAACTTCTTTTGGCCCGAATTGGATGATCTGGACACCAAGGACATTTTGCACGAGCGATTCGAGGACATGGTCATCTCACGTGGAAGTGATGTGAACTGGTCACCAAGATCGTATGATTTGACACCGTTAGACTTTTTTTTGTGGGGTTTTCCCAAGTCGCAGGTATATGCGAATGCGAATTAGTCACAAACCACAACAGTCCCCAAAGTCAGTATGACCCATGCCATCGGTAAAGTTCAGCCTTAGTCATGCAAAATTGGAGAAGCCGTGACGGACATTTGGACGACGTTATATTCCACACATAATGGCATGGTCTTTCAAACGAATAAAAAATTTCGATGATTTCTCACACAAAAACTTGGTTTTATTCAAATTTAAAGATGGAAAGCGCTTAATGAAAGACCCTATATATGCTCAATTCGAAGTACACGGAGTCCTTTCCCGAATGGGTATGATCGTATTAACGTCAAAATAAGCGCTTTATCTATAAAAACAGAATATGGATGTTTTGATCCATCATTTTGTTCAAGCTTCTACAAAATTTCATAACATTCAATAAAAAAAATGACAGATCAAATGACATTTTGCTGCTTGAAAGTCATTGCTTTTCACCCTTTTCAAGAGCATCAAAAATTATCTTGCAGAAGAGCCCAGATATTTTTATTTTTCGTTTCTTAAAAAATTACGACTTTGAAACTCCAAAATTACCACTTTAATCTCGAATTTACGAATCTAAATACTAAATTACGACTTTAAAATTCGAAATTTTGACTTTCATCTCAAAATTTCAACTTTAATCTTGAAATTACGAATTTAAACACGAAATTACGACTTTAATATCAAAATTTCGACTTTAATCTTGAAATTACGAATTTAAACACGAAATTTCTATTTTAACCTCAAAATTTCGACTTCAATCTCGAAATTTCGACTTCAATTTGGAAAATTCGACTTTGATCTCGATATTACGAATTCAAACACGAAATTACGACTATAAACTCTAAATTTTGACTTTAATCTCAAAATTTTTACTTTGATTACAACATTTCGATTTTAATCTCGATATTACGACTTTAATCACGAAATTACGACTTTAACTCGAAACTTCCACTTTAATCTCAAAATTTCGACTTCAATCTCGAAATTTCGACTGTGATTTCTAAATTTCACCTTTGATCTCGAAACTCGACTTTAATTTCGGAATTACGACTTTAAACATGAAATTACGACTTTGCACTTGAAATTTCGACTTGAATCTCGAAATTTCGACTTTAAATTTTGACTTTAATATCAAAATTTTGACTTTAAAATGACAAAATTTCGACTTTAACCTCGAAATCACGACTTTAATTTAAAAATTTTGACCTTAATATCGAAATTTCGACTTTAATTTCGATATTACGAACTTTAAACACGAAATTTCGACTTTAATCTCGAAACTCGACTTAAATTTCGAAATTACGACTTTAAACTTGAAATTTTGACTTTGATCTCAAAATTTTGACTTTAATTTGTAAATTTCGACCTTAATATCGAAATTTCGACTTCGAAAGTCGAAATGTCCTAGAAACAAATAATAAAAAATATGTTGCCCTACTGCGCTCCCGTAGTTTTCTAAGTATGTTTTGGTGCGCATTTTGTCTGGCGTTTCTCTATCTAGACCGGCCCTGAAATCAAGTGTGGGGGGGCCACGCGATAACGAGATGTCGAGCGACGATCGGCAATCGCTTCATGCTTGCGGTTCGCCTCCTCAGACTCTTAGTACATTCAAAATTCAACCTTCGCTCGCAACAAAGGATAATAGCTTTCATTGCTGAATGAACATACCAACTCTCCGTAAAACCCAGGACAGCAATTCAAATAAACTAAATACAAAAATCGTACAAATGTGAGCCAGAAGTATGTCGAATAAATACGGTGTATTTTCGATCCTGTTAGTGTTTTCATGTTCGTTGTTTGTGCGAGAAAGTAGTAGTGTTGGACTCCAGGATGCACTTGATATCATACAAATTGCCAAAGACGTTGTTGTTGCGATAGCTAAAGCGTGGAACATTGTCGATCAACACGTAGATTTTTCGGATATTCCGATACCGATTCTCGACAAGACGGAAACAAAACTTTTCGGAAAAATCGGGATAATCACTGCGAAATTGGACCGCATATCAGGACAAGTTGATGCAGTAGGTCAGTATGGTTTCTTCAAATTCGAACAATTCATAATTATGTTCCTGAATTTGACGTATTTACGTTTTAGACGTACTTCTAATTACAATAAAGTATCATAGATTATGCATCACCCCATTTTCACCGGATACACATAACCTATGCAGGAAGTTTTCGTCTTTTGTTTATCAATTTGTTCTCCACTGGACAGACCTAGCATGTGCAAGACCAATTATTGTCAGTGTCTGTTTGTAGTTATTGACCCTGAGTTTAAACTTTATTACTGTGTCATATTTCTTGGACCGAAAAAAGTTGATAACCAGTATTTCGTGGAAGTATTTTCTTGTTTTGCATTTGTGAGTCGATATTCAAGAATGACCTCGAAAATGTTACTAACGGTTTATTAAGGTATAACCTCGTAAACCGTTACGATTATTTACTTAGTTATGACGTTTTTGAGGATTGATTTCTGAGACACACATGGTTTTTGACGGCAGTGTCAATAATCACGCAGAAGTATGAACTAATTCGTTATTACTTTTAATTATGTTCCCAACATAAAAAATAGTTTTTGTTATGAGCTTATTTGTTGATCGAACTCGGTGATTTAGCTTGTGATTCAGTTGAATGAGCTTTTGTTTTAAAAATTTGTGTTTTATGATTCAACTATACGAGAGCGGGACCAGAAGTACCCACCCCTACAAAAACTTTGGAAAAAATATATTTATTTTTCAACATAATTTCCTTGCAGTTCTATACACTTTTCCCAGCAACGTTCAATAATTTCGATACCGTTTTATAGAAAATAAAAGTAAGTATCAACTTCGTAAACATTCTCAACTATACAGTTCATAGCTAAATGTAAACATCGAACAAAAAGTTAAAAAAACACATAGTTTAAATACCAGTAGGTACTGAAACACATTTGTTTTCTATTAATTGAGTACCCAGATAGATATCTAGTGTGGAGCACTTGAGGGTGATGATGCTAGTTTTTGAGATATTAAATGACAAGAGATCAGCATCACACCAGTTTTTTATTTTTATAATATCCATGATGATCAAATCATACAGTTCACTTTCATTCTTGCAATGCCAAAATAAAGTAGTGTAATCAGCGAATTGGGTTATTTCTGCGGTTATATTAATGCGGGCTAGGTCGTTAATATATAACAAAAAGAGAATAGGGCCTAGAACCGATCCTTGTGGAATATCACAAGTAACTGTCTGGAGATGGAATATGTTGTCCGGGATTTTGACTTTCTGAGTGAGTTCTGATAGGTATGATATGAACCATTTCAAAGATATATCTCTAAATCCTTATACTTCTAGTTTTTGCAGCAGAATTTCATGATCTACGCAATCGAAAGCTTTTGAAAGATCGCAAAAAACTGCCGCTGTTATTTCACGATTATTTAAATTGAGATAAACGTTTTCCAGTAGATGAAACATAGCATCTTCCGTGTTTTTCAAACTCTGAAACCCAAACTGACTGCTACTAATAATACTATGCTTATTCACAAACATCAAAGTTCTTTGTTTAACAAGTTTTTCTATGATTTTAGCAAGGGTAGGTAGCATAGAAATGGGCCTAAAGTTGGCAGGATTGTTAGTGTCGCCTCCTTTGTGCAAAGGAATAATTTCTTTAAGAATTTTTCTGATTTCCATAACATCTGTAGGCATGAAAAAAACGTCTCTGAAACTGATTTGTCTTTAAGAAAAGTCAAGGGATTAATATTGGATTTCATATCTTTGGATAAGTTATGTGCCACAGTGCAGTAATATTTGTTAATACAATCAGATTTTAGGTCAGTTTTCGTAGGAGCAATAATATTTTTTCCCCTGAGATCATTGATGATTGCCTAGCTTTCTTTTTGTTTGTTTGCAGACCTTTTCATTTATTTCATATAATGAAGTTGTTTTGCAGTCTTTATAGTTCTTCTATAAATGTTTTTGTACCTATTATATAGAGTTGAAGCCTTCATTGTTACCTAAATATTTCCGAATTAAATATAGGGATCGCAGATTTTCTGCTGAGATCTTAATGCCCTTTGTGTCCCATGTCCGAAATTAATCGGAATTTCTAAAATACTGAAACGTTTTTCAAATAAACCTTAAAATGGACAACGTCATGATTCTCTCCAGTGAATGAATGAATAAAGGTGCTTCTT